AATAAATAAGTTGGTTAAAGAAGATTTGCAAATGGATGATATTAATAAGGAATAAGAAATTTAAAATACAAATTAAATCGAATTTTATGCTCTTTAAGATCCCCTAAATTCATAAATATCTAATTAATAGAACCTATAATTTCAATAATACATTTCAGATTTGAAGAATGATAACATATAAAATGATTTAAATAAGTTTGAAAAAGAGTAGATTGTTAATTAGACCAATAATAACTTTTTAGAAACAATTAAAATTGTTGAAGACACCTAAATTATCTAAAATGAATTATTGTCTTCATAAAGAACATAAAAAAATAATGACCATTAAATCGATGAATAAGATTTGATTAAGTATGAATAGGATGATAAAGAATAAAAAGTTAACAATAAAAAAGAAGATATAAATGAGGAGAAAGAATAAAATTAAGAAGAGATCATATAAATGTAATCAGGAGATGGTGATGTACAATAATAAGGAAAAACTAACAATTTATAAGAAGATTAATAGATTTTAGTTGTTATGGAAAAGCAGGAGATAAAAAGTGATACTGAGGTTGTAACAAATAAAAATGAGGAGTTTGAGTAGATGGAGAATAAAGTAGATAAACCTACAGAAGTTAAAGAAGAAGAAGAGGAATAATAATAAATAGTAATATCACAATATGGTAATGAATAGAATAGTAATGTGTAATCACATAAGATTGAAAAGGAGCCATCTATATAGAGTTTTTAAAAAAAGGACAATGATCAAAACTTATTGCAATTACCTTCATAAATGGAATTTCATTTGCTTAAAAGCTGTGAGAGTAATTTCTTTGAACCTCCTAATTCAGGGAAAGAGACTGTAAAATATCTGAACTCTGGAGAACTGCTTAGTAGAACTAATTTTCTTTCTTAATTGGGATAATTAGGAAAATTTGAATTTGAGAATAATTCATTATTGGGATCAGGAGATTTGAAAAAAGACATAGAAGGTTTGCCAGAGCCTTTAAATTTAAGAAATAAAAGCAATAATCAATAAGAATTATTTTCAGAATCTCAAACATTTCCAAATAGGATGCCAAGTGATTTTAGATCTCCTTTTATTGATGATACATTTAAATTAAGTACAACCTTTAAATTTTAATTCAGTTCTGAACTAAAGGCTTTTGAGAGTGGACAATTTATTTCCTAATAGTTTAATATAAAAGTTCAATAGTAAGATTCTCTTGAGTACTCAATGGATGAATCATCAGACTTGCAACCTATTTACATCACAACAATGAAGGTGGATGATAATGATGTCGATGTATTTTAAATAAAGAATGTTCTAAGATTTAAGGATAAGAATAATTTATATTAATGTTATGATTTCAAGATCTCTAAAATGTAGCAACTTAATAGTGACTATATAATCTAAAATTTATTTGTGTTCATAATGAAGAATCGTATTAATTGCATAGATGGCAATTAAATAGTAAGAATTTAAAGATACTTAAAGAGGTTTAGGTTTGTTTAATCATGTGTATTAACTCTCGATAAGGAGTCAACTTTAATTTGCTTATTTAAATCATGTAAGTAATATATTAATTTAAAGTTTTTCAGATAAAGATGTGTTTTTATAGATAAGTTGAAATTGGAGAGTAAATTATTATTGAGAAAATGACAACAAAGTAAAGGAGGATACTGGAGTTGAATTTTTACTCGATTTGCCCTTAATTATTATTCCATGATAAGGGATTAGAATAAAAGGTACTTGCAACAATAGATGCTTTGGGTGCTTAGAGCTGACTAATATTATTTATATATTCTATTAATTTTTTGAGTTTTATTGCTTTTATTTATGTATGAAAGGGACATAAAATGTAATGTGTATTATTGCTGTCTGAATGATATAAATATATTTAATTAATAAGAATGATCGTCATATTTGAATCCATATTGTTGTTGTTTTATGTAAGAATTGCAGACTGTTGTACATAATTGCCTAACAACGAATTAGTGCTTGTGAATAAAATAAATGAAACATAAAGTATGAATGTTTAAAAGTTATTCGTAAAATAAGAACAATCTTAAATATTGTTGATAGCAAATGATAGTGACATTAATGTTCAAAAAAACATGTATATCCATTCTCATTCCAACTATTCTTTTGATGATATAATTAGCGTGAAATGTTTAAGATCTTATAAGGACTACGCTGCAACAAATCAATATGCCTTATTGAATAAAATTAATGATAAATATCAAATACACACTAATAGTTATCAAATTGAAAACAATCAGCGTTTACCAGAATTCAACTAATATTTTGAAATCACAGATTACATATGTCACGATCTGGAGATGATGGATAGATATACTCTGGTAGCAGATTGCTATAATGAAAGCAGCAATGTTTTCATTATTAAAAAAGAGTAAAGTGAATTATAATATTTCATCCAAAATCAGACTAGAGATTAGAGAATCAAAACAAAGATGTTTGCATTTAAGGATGACTTATTAGTTCGGGTTTTTTATTATGATGAAGATTATAAGTAATCATCAATACACTTTTTGTAAATTGGTGAAACAGTTTCAACGTCTCTGATAATTGATGAAGATTATATTAATGATATATTAAGTGATACATAAACTGAGATTCAACTTTAGTTAGTGTAAGTGGAATTTGAATAACAAATAATCACAATTCTGAACAAAAATCAGTGGGTTATATAAATAAATGCAAAGGATTACCCTAATATTCTCATTAAGGATTATTTTTAGCTTGATTAGGAATACCCAGCAATATTCATAACATATCATGTTAAAAATTAAATTTTTGCATTCTTGACTTAATAGGCAATATATATTTTGAGGGATGAAAGTTTGACGTCAATTAAGGAAATAGATAATAAAAATTAATCATTTTAGATTTTCTTCGCATAAAATTGCGTAATACAATATAATAACGGAGAGTTGAGCTTATTATCATTGAACTTAAAAACTTTATAGACTATTCGTATTAATGGGAACCACAGATTAATAATAGACTAAAAATTGGATGAAATAATAGCAATTACTGAATCAGAGAGTCAGCGAATTATTGTCAGAGTTAATGAATTATTGTAGTTTAAATCTGATACTTTGTATTAATAATTCAGATCGGCTTCTTTGGTCTAATAAATTAACATACTTGAATCTTGCACTTTAAATATAAGATACACTACAATTGAGTTGAGTTCTACATAAGCGATTCCTACTGTGATGAATCAATTCAACACAATATTGAATAGTCCAATAGAATCATATGAAGTCAATAGGTTCATCGATGGACCAAATATTACTATTTCTAACATCATTGAATTAAAGGCCAATTAAGTTTCATTTAGTATTAATTTTGAAATTTTGCAGCAGAAAACCATAAGTGGCATATTAAATGAATAAGCTGTCCAGTATGTTAAAGTGATGAAGTTGACAACCTAGTACTTGTATTTGATCTAAACTACAAATCTTTATATTCAATTTTACTATTGTGTTTAGAGCATGAATTGCTACTTTTCAAGTTAAGTGTACTTTGAATTTAATTTGTCGTCCACTCAACATGAAATGTTTTAGAATAACTATAACGTCTACATTGTAATTAAAAATAATGAGTAGTTGGATATTTGGAAAGTGTAAGACCCTCTCATCTATCTGTGTACAATCTATCCAGATTAGGATCATTATATACTGCAATTTCAATATATCAATTAGTTCTTGGCAGTGCTTTACTCAAACTAATTAGTAGTTCTTTATAAAGTAATGGATCAATGTTAGAAATCTCAATCATTAACTACAGAATTCATTGAGAAGTACAATATCGAATGGTATCCTTCTTACATTTCCACTAATGAAGAATATAATGTTCTCTATGTTTAAACTAAAATGCAATTGTTGTTGATTCAAATCAAAGAAAAAGAAATATATCCCATCAATATAATTCCCCTTAGTTAAAACAGATCTGTCAGTATCTTTTCATATTCTAATATTATTTGGATCTACTATAAAGATACAGCAGTGATAGAATCATTCATAATCAATTCCATAACCTATATAGAATGCCTGAGAACTATTTCCTTATATAATCTTATTCCTAATAAATTCTTTCATCACTAATAATCTAAATATGTCTATTTCAAAAATACTCAAGATAGTTTAGGCACTATCTATATATATTCTATGGAAACGAGTAGTCATAATGCCTTATTGACTACATTTTCTACCAGGTACAAAATACTTTATTCGGTGCAAAATTTATTTATCATAGCTGATATCAATAATTATTATGAAATCCCCCAAAAAATCAAGTATTCCATTTATTACCAAGATATAGAAAACCCAGATTATTTAGTTAAAGTTAACGCATCCTTAATTATATCAAGCTACGATAACAAAGAACAATTAATTTATCAAATTAATTCAACTCTAGTTAATCCCTATACAACAATTACTGTAAATCAAACCTAATTGAATCTCCTTGAGTTCCTCGATTAAGGTAGACCTATTGGCTATTGCGAGAGCAAGTATTCTTGGTATACTGGATAAGTTGTGGATATTGAATTAAATAGTAGATAGTTGAAACTGTAAAAATCAATGCATCTTTTAAACAGGGAGATATGTTCTACAGGAATTGATATCAAAGAATATGTCTCAGATTCTGTCCTCATTTTATATTAAGATAGAATTATCAAATTAAATATGACTAACTAATTTTAGTAAATCTTTTATCTAGATTCCTCTATTACTTATACTAAGATCATATAAGCCTTGTAGGATTTCATTTTCATTACTGCTTACAAATTAGTTCCTAGCTTTTCATACTTGTTATAAGTAGTAAAATGTGACCAGAATTTCATCTGTTCGAATCAACTAATTGAGATTTCTTCCTATAGTGATCCTAGAAAAGTGAAGATCTTTTAGAATTTATTATTCTTAATTTTTGATCAATTTATAAAGGTTTACTCAATTAAAGATGATAAATTATCAATTATTTAGAGTATTGATAATTCATAAATTTATTACTTTAAAGATGTCATTTCTCCATAACAAGATTATTTTCAAATTTATTCCTAATAGGATAATAAAATCAATATTACAACGTATTATTTCAAAGAAAACAATCTTAATTTAATAGAACATTATAAGATTGATTTATTAAGTGCCATTTAATAATCAGGCTTTAATATTGACCCTAAGACCTAGTTTCACAGGATAATAATAAAAAATAGCAAAACTTAGTAATAATTGCTTACTGTAGAATTATTTTGCTAATCCTATTAGCATTCACATTATATCTTATAAATACAATTTATTTGCTCATTACAAAACAACTTGTACCTTTGTCCTATTAATAATTACAAGGTAGTGTAGATACTTTAAGGATATGGAACTTGGCCTACGAGTTATGTTAAAATGTATAATGATTAATATCTATTGATGATTTACTATTAATCAACAACATTTATCAATGCCCTGTATAATTTACACTTAAATTATGTTTAACCAACTATTTCTCCTACCTTATTTTCAGGAGCTATTTAATATTAAAATATTACATAATAACTATCAGCATTCTTTACAAAAGGCAGTTAAATTTACTTATTAACTAATTCAATCCATCAAGATGTCTTTGCTTTATATGAAATACATAACACATTTAAGTTTTGCATCTATGATCATTTGACACCTGAGAAAATTCTGATTACTCTTAAAAATCATTTTTATTAAAAAAATGAAACTATTGAAGTTATTCAAAATAATGATGTAATTGATAATAAAACAACAAAATTAATAATTTGGTTTGTCTTTGGAATAATATTAGCATTTCTTTTGGGAATTCTTTTATTTGGTTGTTATATCAAATACAAAAAGAGATAAGCAGAAAATTAATTAATTTTATGATACTAAATAATTCATTTTGCATTTGAAATTTATCTAATATTACTAGAAATTATCACATTTTTTTTGTTCTATTCATTCTATTCTCCTAAGTTTAAATTTCTTTCCGTTTCCTCTTTTAATTTATCATACTTTTTCTGCCAATCATCAGCTTATTTTGTCTATATTAAACTCATAACCATACTTTCAATTAATTTAATCTTGTATTTTCATTAGCTAATAATGCACACTTGTTCTCTAATTCAATAATTCTTCTATTCTTATCATCCAACATTGATGTTTCCAATCTACTAGTGTCTTCTTTTACAACTTCCTTCATAAATGAAACTTCTTTCTAATATTAAACTAATTCATTCTTCATTGTTTACATTTCAAAATCTTGACTTTTAATTGTTTACACTAATATTTATATCTCCTCAAACATTTAATTATTCCTTTACTCCAATTCCCTTTACTCTGATGTATTCCTAAATGAATTCTGTTATTGTTCCAACTAGCGAATACGTTAGACTAGTTAATCTTCCTTCTTCTAAGCCTTTATTAAATTATTTTCTAGTTGCATAATCTTAACATTCAAAGAATCTGCCAATGATTAATTTTTAGATTAATTCTACAATTCCTCCTTTTTACTCAATTATTGTAATTAATCTTCTAAATCATGTATGTATTTTTCAAATTTACTAATTTTCTAATCATACTATTGACTTTATTGCTTTAATTGATTAATCTATTCATTTTTCTATCTCACTTCTCCCTAAAGTTAATTGATTTCATTATTCAATTTCTATTAAACCTACTCAATCTATTTCTTAGATTCTATTGATAATCTTTCATATTTTTCAACACTTAATCTTTCAGTTCTAATTTAAACTTCCTCTATCTAAGCTGATAATTACCTTCTTAAATCTTCATTCTAACTTTCCCACTTCTCACTTATCTATAAACTTATGATTATTAATTATTACTTTTTTCTCCTTCTTATAATTTTCGATCATTATCTCCAAATCATCCGTAACCTCTTTTATTCTATTATTTGCTTCTCTTAATTATTTCTCATATCTTTATTCTAAATTCATTAATTCCTCCTTTAATTACTTATTCTTTAATTCTATCTAACTCAAATCAGCAACCTTATCATTTAATTATAAAGAAACCCTTTGATTCTCTCTTTGCAATCTAGATTCTAACTCTTCAATTTCCCTTTAATATTTCTATTTCATCTATTGCAATTCATATTGCACCTTGTCCAATTATGAAGTTAGCTATTAATTTTCAACACTATGATCTTTTATTTCTAATTCACTTTTTCTTTGGCATTGTTTCAACTTCTCTTCCAAATCAGCTATAAACCTATTCTACTTTTCTATTGTTGAGCTCTCATTATTCAATTAAATAATTTAATCTTCTAATGCTTTAATCTTGCTCTAAAACTTTTAAATACTTTAATTAGCCTTGCTCAACTCTTATTGTAGACTCTCCTTTTGCTTAACTGAATTCCTATACTCTATATCATATTCAGCAACCTTTAATTGTTTTGCTCTTCTATTCTAATCCGCTAATTAATCAATTTCTTTGTATAATAAGCTTTTCTCCTCCCCCATTTAAATTTAAAATTATTCCAATTCCTATCGCAATTTCTAATTCTTCTATTCCAACATTAAGATTTATTTATTCTTAATATCCAAATCCCCATGGTTCACTGACTTATTCAATTGTTCACTCTCTAATTACTATTAAAGCTGTTTAATCCTCTCTTCCAATTCGAATATTAATTTTTATTATTGACTTGATTTGGATTACCTGGACTGAACTGAGAGCTTATCCTCTTACTCTTATTGCAATTACTTTTTTATTTAATATAGATCCTATTATAATTACTGCTTTTATTGATTTGCCAAATTTAATTAATTATTAAGATTTAGAATCTTACTATTCAATTCTTCAATATGTCTGCTGTTATTCGAAGTAGATTGTCTAGTATACTATTCACTTTACCTCGATTTCGTTTCTCTTTCATAAGTATTTTGCTATAATTTACTCTATACTTATGAAACCTAAGTTTGAAACATCGTGATTTGATTCAGATAATCTGTATTCATTTAACTCAGCTATGAATTTTGATTTGAAAGCTCCTTCAATCTCTCGCTTAGTAATGTGACTTCATCCTAATGCATCTTAATTTGATCTTAAAGTGTTGACTGTAGGATACTTAGATCCTTTATCTGTAATTAATCTGTGCTCCTTTGATTGTTTAGTGATGTAATCTAGGTTAAGAGTTATTGGTTCATTTCACTAAGCTTTTGAATCTATTTGTCTTAATCTTTATATTAAATAGAACTATCCTTCTATTAAAGGATCAATTACTACTATAATGTATTATTTATTGTATTTAATTTATCTATCGATGCTAAGTAATCATCTATCAAAATCTCATATTGTGATTGTTTCTTTTAATAAACTTCAACTTAGCTTAACAATTTTACGTTCTCTTATTCAACCTTCTTAAAATGAATATCATTTTCCAATTGCACACGCAATATTTAATCCTTATATTTGTTTTCCAACTATTTTTATTTCTCACAAAAATCCTATATATCCTATTGATATTATTTATTATTCAATTGCAAAACCTGAAGTTGACAATTTAATTTTACGTTCTCCTCTTGTATCATTTATAAATCAATAAGTAATTTTTCTGTAGCTAAGGCTGCATTATTAGTTATTTAATGATATTATTGAGTATTAGTTGTATTTGTGACAATCTTAATTTATTCACTTTAAGATGCCAACCTACTTGATTTTTAAGATTGAAACTCATTTCCAGGGATTTGCAAACAAAAATTGTTAACATCTTTACCTAAATATAGTTGATCCTCCTAGGCTCGATATATTTTGCTATGCATAGATTAAATGGAAATTTTATTATAAAATTAAAAATTGAAAGCTGAGAATTCATAATTGTCATGTGAGTATAAATATTGAAGCCGATATTTACTGTTCCATTCTACCTCTTCTAATGGATAAGAGTAATGGAATTTCAACAAAAATGTAAATTTGATTGAAATTTAATGATAACCAAAATTTGAAGTTATTCTATGTTAAAAGATAGATACATAATTGGTTAGAACTAAAATAATGATGGAAATGAGATTGCATCTGTTCTATTATAAAGCTAGTGCAAGAGAAGAAAAATATGGTCATTTTACTTTTCTAAGGAATGGTGAAAGTCAGAGTTGAATGATGAATATTAAAAAGAAAATTTAATCATATATATTATCCATGAATCGCAGCAGTCATGTGAAAAGTGGATAGACTGCATTTAAAGTGTTGAATTTCTTCTTGAGATCAAAGAAACCAAGCTAAGTTGTGCCTGAAAGAAGACATTTCGAACATGATGAGATTAAAAAAATATTTAGAAGATGTCTTATAAGATTACGAACAATATACATTTTGAATTAAGTGACTAAAGAAATAGTCACTTATGGGACGTCTTCTAATCTCTATGACATTTCAACCAGGGACAGGTATAATTTGATTAGGATTAATAAGACCTGCTTTACAAAAATATCTGTTTCCATTATCGAAGTCATAGGATCAAGATGATGATCAACTTGAGTTTCCAATAATACATCCAAATTCAATCTTCAGGTAAATTTGGAATGGAATCTTTTTATTGATGATGATTTATGTTGCAACAATTTTACCATTTAGAAGTTGCTTATTGAATTAATTTTAGTTTCATTTTATCTTGACAATGAAGTTTAAGCTTGGTATATCGCAGACATTGTAACAGATGTATTGTTTTGGCTTGATTTGATAATCAGCTTTTTATCAGGCTATTACGATGAAGAGGGGAAACTGGTGAAGAAGAGAAAGATTATATTCATGAACTATTTGAAAGGATGGTTCACAGTTGATTTAATATCATGTCTCCCTTTAAACTACGTATTGGATGGAGTGCAATCTGAAAATGGAAATATGAAATCACAGAACATCAAGCTGTTTAAATTGCTAAAACTACCACGCATGTATAGATTGTTTAAAATAATTCGATTTATTGATATGATGAAATATCTAGGAATTTCAGAGATCATGGAATTCTTTTAATTTAATTATGGATTCTCCAGATTATTGTCACTTCTAATTTCTGTCTGTTTAGTAATTCATTTATCAGGATGTCTATGGTTTTATGTTGCAGCATTCAATGATTTTGATTCATACACATGGGTATCTAGAAATGACTTAACATCATCAGCTATCCAAACTAAATATATAGCAAGTATATACTATGCATTTACTACTTTAACAACAGTTGGATATGGAGATATCCATTCATTCTCCTCGGCTGAGATGATCATTACAATCTTCTTAATGGTAGTTGGAGTTGGATTTTATTCTATGATTATTGGTTTGCTTTCTAGCATCCTTTCACAGATAGATTACAAAGGCCATAAACTTCAATAGCAACAAGCAATTCTAAACGAGTTTTGTATTGAAAAGAAAATATCATTGAATTTAAGAGAAAAATTGAAGGAAACTCTTTAATATAGCTTTGATAAGAATTGTTTCACGTGGGCAGATAATAAATACATCTTTAAGGATCTTCCTATTAATCTTAGATATGATATTATTATGAACATCCATAATGGAGTATTTGGAAACATGCAACTATTTTAATTGGTGGATGACAAATAATTCTTAGTGAAGGTGGTTCCTTTGTTGAAACCTATTTTATTTTTAGAATCTGAAATTATATGGGAACAAAATAGTAATCCTGATGCGATTTACTTTATTGCTGAGGGTAGAATGAATTTCAAGGCTGACTTCATTGTTATCAAATAAACTAATCAAAAAAAATAGTTTGCTTTTAAAAGTATGATTGGAGGATCATACTTTGGAGAAATAGAAATATATCTACATACTAAGAGAGAAACAGTAGCCTAATGTGAATCACAATGTGAAATGTACTATCTGACTATAACATCATTTGAAAACGAGATCTACGATGATTTCCCTCATATCATGAATAAAATGAGGAAGATTGCTTTAGAAAGAAGACAAAAGAATCTCGAGACAATACAACAATTATAATAATTTATTGATGATGCGACCAAGAAATAATTAAAAAGAAGTAATGACTTATTTTCAATATAAAGCATAACCAAGGAAAAATACTGTTCTATTAAGAGAATATATTAAGCAAAGCAGTCAAAAGACTTTAGAGGATATGAAGCCAATTGATTATCAACAGGAGACTGAGAATCCTTAAATATCTACTAATAGATTGAAACTTCAAGATCTATTCCTAATCACCTAAGAGATAGAACAATTACTAGAATGATATATATATTTATTCGTATCTACTTATTTTGGAATGACTATTCTAAGTAAAATGAATGATAATAATCATTATAATTACTAGCTAATCATAGAATTATATATTGAAGTAAATAGAATTATAATCAATAAGATTTAGAATAGTTTACAAATTAATATATTTAAGGAAATATGCTATTCATTTTTTATTCCTTTTATCTAAAAGATTTTTAACCTTTTCAACGCATAATCCTTACTCTTTGGCTGAACTTGCAACAATGGCTGTTGGAATAGAACCTTTGGGGTCAACCATAGTTATAAAGCAAGCCTTAGTTCCTTATTCCATTTTTTAAAGGACCCATCCTGCAATCTTTAATTCTCCTCTAACAGAGTCCTTTATTGGTGGTATATCAGGATATTCAATTGATTTTGCAACAATAATCCATTTGTTTTCTTCTCTGAAGACTCTAGAAACTAATACAAAATCCCTGGATTTGACCACTATTTTAATAGTTTTGAATCTTTGATACAAAATACCTGTGTCTTAATCAATTTTCTTATGCATATAACCCTAATTATATTAAAATTAGATTTACTGAATCGAATAGTGAGTCATAATCTCCTCTTTTCTCAACTTTTTCTATAATTTCATACATTTACTCCATCGAATAAGGGACAATGCCTTCACCTCTACTCATGGTTTGCCCGCTATTCTCATCAAATCTTGTATGAATGATGAATCCTCCTTTTTCTGATTAAACCTACCATGAAGGATTTAAAGGATAAACTGATTCCAATAATTTTTTTGCTTCCAAAGTGATGTCAAAATATTTTTAATACTCTGGAGGATAAGATTATTTTGGTGGACTTACTTGTATAGGCTATGGTTAGAATTATGATATTGGTTGAATTTGAGATTATATGATTTCTTAAGTTGATTCATCAGCCTATGTATATTTAGGAGATTTAGTAAGGATTTCTGATTAAATTATGGAAGGTTATTCTATCTAAGCTTTCTGGGTTTGATATTCAAATAGGATGCTTTTAGGATTCTATTTTTGTTGCTTAACAAACTGTTTTAAACAAGGCAATAAATGTATTTGTGTATTTTGAGCTAAACATTTAATTTCGATATTGTCTTCCTCAAATAAATACTTAATTATGAACAATCTGAGAATTTATTGTTAGTAATATTCAACGATAAAAAATGATGCTTAATCCACAAAGATTGCTTATTAAAACCTTTCAATGACTTAATTTGTATAACTTAGAGTCATAATATTATTTTGAGCATTTATTGCTAGGAGATTAGGATTCCACTCTTTTCTAATGTCATTTCTGGTCATCAAATAGACTAAAGAATTATAATCAAAATTCATGTAACAAACTCCCTACACAATGAAAGGCTTTGGTTTTTCTTTCTTGTATTTCTTTTATTTGAATACAAAGGGGAGTAAAATGAAATTGATAGTCAGAATTATACTGTGAGTGTATTTCTAATTCTCAACCAAAGTCAAGAAATAGTAAATGATTATTGAGATTAAGAAAAATAATAGAGTAGATATAGCAATTAAGTTCCTTATGCTAAGATTTTGACACTTAAGAAACAACTAATCAAATTTACTTAAATTATCTTGGGAGATCATTTCTGGTTATTGTTATTTATAAATTAATACTCCATCATTTATGTCAAAGAGTATTGATTGATGTGATTCAAATTTTTTAATGTATTGTTTAGCCAAAGTTCTTACTTCTTCTCCAAAATCCTATTTAATTAGATCCTAATCAGGTTAGAAAATGGGAGATTTTGTTTGTTGAATATTGATAGAAGGGGACTATTATTTTAGAAATGATTCTTGGAATTGTGACTCAAATTTCGATTCAGATTAATATTTTATCTAAGTCAAAGATTGGAGTAATCTTTTATGTTCAGATTCAGTATAAGTAATAATCTTTATGGATTCATCACTATGACATATTTGCAGAGAAGATCCATTATTAGTGAGTAATTCTTTGATTTTACAATTTCTCAATTTGTATTCAGCCTTAATCTATCTGTCCTCCTTTTTGTCTCTATAAGTGAAAATCCCCTAGAAATAATGGGAATACATACATCTGAGGAAATTTCAACATACCTAATAACCCAGAAAGACTTTCTTTTTAATTTCACATAAGCTCCAAAAAGTGACATAATATGTAAATTAATTGTATAAATTAGACACAAATTAAGACTATGATTAAAATGGTTAAAGCAAAACTTTATAAAAATATGTTATTATCAATATCATTGTTATTTTCCTCTCAAGAGGTACAAAAACATTAAAGCCATAAATCTGAAAAATAGAATTATGGCTGCCAAAATAACCAAGCATTTCCACAGTCCTAAATCTAAATTGTAGGTATCAATAGGGTTGGAGTTCTCTATAGTCTGACCAATGAATTCATCTCTTCTAGTTTCGAATTCATTCCATACTAATGCCTCAAAGGCATATTTCATTGGACTTAAATATTGGATCCATCCTATCCAATCCATATACATAGATTAATTAGCATAAAAGCCTGAAAATATAACCAAAGGCATTAAAACTACAGGCAGAAATCCTGCAGCTGCTTTGAGATCATTAAACATGCAACCAGTCATTAGACCTAATAACTAAAAATTAAATTATACCAAAACTATTTCCACTTAAACCAAGTAAGATACAAATAATAATGTTAATTACAACTATGTCTCCAGTCTTATAATTCAAATCAACCATCCAATAGCAAATAAGTTACTAGATAATAGGGAAAACAAATAAAAATGGAAGCTCTACTGAACTTTTACCTGTGAAATATGCTGCAGTACTATACAATTTTGAATTTTCCTCTCTTAAAAATACTTCTCTTTCAGCTGGAAATTACACCATTACAGGATTCAGAGCTCCCATAAAACTGCTCATCACCAAAAAGAATAAAACTCCTATTGTACTCTAAATTCCTTTGTATCCAGGTTCGCTACCTGCTGTCCAAAAGATACCTCCTATAAGTAGACCAATAAATATCGTCATTACTAAACGACCTCTTACTAGACACCTTGTCTCTTTTTACGTTTATCATTCCTCTTCTGAAGATTTCAGCCACTTAAAATCCAAAAGAAGTTTAAATTGATTGTCTTGATATCTATTAAACTTAAATTGAGTTTATTGCATTCTCGATTTCCTGAGAGAATCTTTAATTGTAACCATTAAATAGTGTTTAATAATGTGGATGGTCAGCATCTTCATGATGCATAACACTCATTAAATAATCCAAAGGATTAGAATGTGCTGGACATTCAAAACCTATGCCTTTGAAATAATTCACCAATTCCACTCTACTCCCCTAATAGATGAACTTACCTTAAACTAAAAGCATAACTTAATCAAATAACATATAGATATCAGCACTTGGCTAATGAATTGTAAACACTATTGTTCTGCCTGAACTATGAGCCAATTTTCGAAGTAAATTTCTAAAATCAAATTTAAATCTATTTTACATTATAATGAAGGCTGTAAACGAATCCAAACCTGAAGTAGGCTCATCCAATAAAATACAAAATGGATCACTAACCAATTCAACACCTATCGAAGTTCTTTTTCTTTCTCCTCCTGATATTCCCTTTATCAATGCATTACCAATCTAACATATGTGATCTATAATTACAAGAGTGTTTTAACATTTTTCCAACTTTAATGTCTTCAATGCATACTCTACTTTTTCAATCTTTTGTTTTGGATCTGCATACTTTAAATTGGCTACAAATTCCAATGTTTCTCTAACGGTTAATGTTCCAAAAAGAACATCATTTTGCATTACGTATGATGAGAATTGAGAAAATTTATCGCTATTATATGGCTCGCCATTAGCATGAATGTTGCCCTATAAAGCTACATTGCCACCAGGAGATATTCTTTTAGCCAAAATATTGAGCAATGAGGTCTTTCCTGCACCTGAGGCTCCAAGGATTGCAGTTACCTAAGCTGGTTTGCAAATTCCAGATATGTTATTTAGGATCATTTTGTTCTCTATAATTCCCTGGGGGTTTTTAACTTTGACCTAATAGGATAAGTTCTAAAAGCTGATTGTCACGCTGCTTGTTGTTTCTTTTGTTTGAACTAGTGCAATTTCATTTCCTTTCATGTTATAAATTTTTATTATTAAATTTTAGAAGTCCTATATTCCAAAATTTAATTCCAATATTAATATTATGAGAATTCTTAATCATGTATCTTATAATAATGCAATATTGAATAATAATATAAAATTATAGCACGTCAATTCAAAGTCATTACTATCTTGACCTTCCCAGGTATAAAAACATTAGTGATAGAATTCTAAAAAATATTGGGAATGCTATGAGAACATAAATGCTATTCCATAATCCAAAATCTAAAGAGAAGGTATCAATTGGATTTTGATTCTATATCGTCTATCCTATAAACTCATCTCTTCTGGTATCATATTCATTATATATCAGAGCTTCAAAAGCATACTTCATTGGACTTAAATATTGTAGCCAGCTTATCCAATCCATAAATAATGACTAATTAGCATAAAACCCAGAGAAGGCAATGAGAGGCATCAGTACCACAGGTATTATTCCAGAGGCATTTCGAGCATCTGATAACATAGACCCAACCATCAAACCTTTGAGTTAATATAATGAATACCCATGCTATTTCCACTTAATCCTAACAAAATACATACAAGAATATTAATTATAACGATGCTAGCAGTTTAATCATTTAGGTCTATCATCCAATAGCATATTAATTATTAGATAATAGGGAAGATTATTAAAAATGGTATTTCTATAGAACTCTTCCCGACAAAGTAAGCAAATGTTGAATAGAGTTTTGAGTTTTCTTCTCTTAAAAACACATCTCTTTCTTATGGAAATTGAACTATCACAGGGTTTAGTGCTGTCATAAAACTACTCATAACGAGAAAGAATAGTCCTCCTGTTGTACTTTAAGTTCCCTTGTATCCAGGTTCATTTGCAGCACCCCAAAAGATACCTCCAACTAATAATCCAAGAAACACTGCCATTACAACTCTGCTTCTTACCAATATTTTATCTCTTTTTACATTTAGGATACCTCTCTTTAAGATCTAAGCAACTTATTATTTAAAACTAGCTTAATATTATTCATTTAAAATTTTTGTAGGTTGAATTCTGGATAATTATTCTTCAATTTAAGATTATATTTAATTATCATATCCTTTAAATATATTTTGAAGTTCTTATTATTTATGATCACCACTCTGTATAATTGATATGAAATAGTCCAAAGGATTTGCCATTTTGGGACATTCAAAACCTATTGATGAAAAATAATCGATCATTTTATCTCTAGACCCTTAATAAACGAATCTTCCCTTTGCAAGCACAAATATTTGATCAAATAACAAATATATGTCTGAACTTGGTTGATGTATAGTGAAAACGATGGTTCTTTTGGAAACTACTGATAATTTTTTTAATAGATTTCTAAATAATTATGTTTTTATACATAATAACAAAAGCAGTAAAAGAATCTAGTCCAGATGTTGGCTCATCTAAGAGTATGCATTGGGGATCTCTTACTAATTCAACCCCTATGGAAGTTCTCTTCCTCTCTCCTCCAGAAATCCCTTTTAGCAACTCATTTCCAATCTATAATATAATTTTCAAGTAATACTAAAGTATTTTAGCATTTTTCTAATTTCAAAGTCTTGAGGGCATAATTAACTCTTAATTGCTTTTCATTTGCATTAGTATATTTAAGATTAGCAACAAACTCTAAGGTTTCTTTGACTGTTAATGTGGCGAAGAGGATATCATTTTACATTACATAGCCAAAAAACCTAGCAAATTTCTCACTATCATAATGGTTTCCATTGGCCAGAATATCCCCTGTAATTTGGACATTGTCTTTTGTGGAAATTCTCTAAGCTAAGATATTAAGTAATGAAGTTTTTCCTGCTCCTGAAGCTCCTAGAATAGCTGTGACTTTTCCAGGAGGACAAATTCCAGATATATTGTTTAGGATGGTTCTACTTTCTGATTCACTATTTCTACTTTGATTTACTTTGTAACTCAGGTTTTTGAAGCTCAAAGTCAAACCAATGTTTTAGTCTTGTTGAGGAACGACTTAGGTTTTATTCATATGTGTTTATTATTATTACAATTTTAGAAAGTCTTGAATTCCAATTTATAATAAGTTTGATTGCTAAAATTAGATTAAACACACCCCGTTTGAAAATAAATTCTGATGAAATATATAAATTATGATAATGAGAAATTAAATTATAAATTCAAACCATCAGACAACCTTCTATTGAATCAAATCATTATGCATTTGCTATTCTATCTCCTCTTAAAATTCATCCTCCTCTATGATATTTTAGAGTTCAAAATAATCTTCTTCATCATCATTCATTTTAGATTTCAAATTTTCTAAATCTCCTCCTTCCTCAGAACTTGATACTTCTAAAATTACAAATATGTTTACCTTCAACAGAATTAACAGCATCATTATCATTTTCAATTTCTTCTTCATCACTGATTCCATCATTTCGAAATCTTACAGAATCTCCATCCGATTGATCTCTTCTCTCACTAAATGGGAAGTTAGATGGAGTCATGAATGATTTGCCTTATTGAGCAATAGATTAATCACTACGAATAAATAAATAGGAATTACTTATCATCAGGTTCACTTGAAGATTCTTCTCTGGATGCATTTTTTCTATGAATTTTTTGCACATTAATTTTAAATAAGCAATAACTTCCATCATTGTTCTAGAGTAACTTAATTCTATCATGACTTTGATAATTCTTATTATAATTAGATATCATTTTCTTTATAAAAATAAGATTGGATGATGGAATGCTCTTACTGATAAATATTCTTTTATGTTTTGTTAGATGTTGAAGAATCCCTTTGTAATTGGTCTTATGAGGTCGTTATTCAATGAATTCTTATTCTTCCTTTTCATTTTCTAATTCCTGGAACACCACTCTCAAATTCTTTTTAACAGTCTATTCTTTAATGGGTTCCTTTTAAATCTATTCTTCATTTGCAACTGTCACAAGTGTTTCTAAGGATTTAGTCTTTTTTAATTTTTCAATAGTATTTGTATCTTGATTTCTTCTCCTTCGTTCTTCAGTTTCATCTTCTTAATCGCTTATATGATTAATATTGTCTTTCTTTTCATTTTAATCATCAACAATGTAATTGACCTCTGTTTTATTGGTTAGATTATTTTAATTATCTGATTTTTCATTTTTTGAATTGATTTCATTGAACTTTTACACAGATTATTGGATGAGCACTTTTGGATTGGATTTATCACTCTCTTGAAAGGGAGGAGTGCCTGTATCAACTTAATACTCATTCATTTATTGAATGAATTATTCAACTATTTCTGATTTATTGACTTTGCTATGAATATAATCCTTAACCTCTTTTGAATTTTAAGCATCACTGATTACACTGCTGATAATTTTATTAAACTCCTCATAAATGGGTAATGCATTCTTGAGTTCATTAATTTATAAATCTTCACAAGAATGTTTAATGTATTGAATTATGGTTCTATGGATGGTGTCAATACTTTTATCAACGTTCACATTATCAACTTTAGGAATTAGAAACTCATCTGCTTTTTCTAGGAACCATTTCTGAATCAATCTAATATTCTGAAAGTTTTCAATATATTTATTATGTCTCGAATCTAAGGTCATATATTTAGATCTAACTGCAAATCTCTCCTTATGTTTTGATTCCTTCTTAATGCAAATAGCAAACGGTAACACTCTCTTGTATTTTTTCATCATTTTCATCATGAATATTGGTGTCAAATGTACTCCCTCAATAATAATAGACTCCATCTTTTCATTAAAAGTCTCTATGACATATTCTAATCTCTATTAAACTAATTGGCATTATGCTTTATAGCCTTTGATTATCCTTCTTTGATCACTAATATTTAAGTCTGGCAACGTCTTACCAGCTTCATATGTACTAGCAAATAATACTGGATTATCATCTTTGGATAGGAAATTCCTCATAATATGTCTTATAGAATCCGTACTATTTAATAATAACTTATTCTTACCTTAAAACTGTAGAAATCCCAAATCTTGATGCTAAAATACTGCTTGCTGTACTTTTGCCTGTACCTGATGTACCTCCCAATAAAATTATTAATGGCTGTTTCTTTTCTGTAAGATTCCATGCTATTTCGAAATCTTCTCTATATAGTTCTCCTTTGACTTGAATATATTTTTTTTCAAGGAGTGAACTAAATACATGTTCCTTAAACTCTTTCTCAGTTATAGTAATTTGTTTAAATTAGGGATTAGAAATTTGATCAAAGAGGATGGCATTCTTTTGCTTCTCAATATTTTCTAAAAGTATTGACTTTTTTTGTACCAGACAATTTACTGAGTATTTAAACAAATATTTTTTCACAAAGGTGATACGAATGAGAAGCTTTGCATCCACTTATTTACAAGATTATTTTTAGTTTCTCTTTATTAATTTTGCGGACTATATATTTGTTAATTATATACTTTATCGTTTCATTTCATTATTCTACTACTAGTCCTTAAGCACAAATATGATATTTTTGTCCACATGACGAACTGATGACATTCTCGTAAATGTGATTAATTATTTTATTGAATTAATCATATCATAATAAGATTCAGAAATATCGATTAATTATATAATTTACTAAATGTTTATTGAAGAGTCAAAATAACACAATTAAGAAAATGACTCAATCAACCATTTTACCACATTTCTCGTAAATATTGAAAAAGAATAAGTTATAGTATTTTACAATATTACTGATTGAATATCTGAATTGTCTTCCGAATGTTCAATCTGCATTCTAATTTATCTATTTATATATAATTCATTTGAAATTTTATCATAGAAATGGATTTCAGAATCCCAATTCAAATCACCTGATTAAAGTAATTATGTGAATAGATGTGATAATACATTACTATATCATTCAGTCATATTTGCATTAAATTAACTTAAGGAAATAGCTACTTAATGATCAATAATTCATCTGATATTTCCTTGAAATATTATAGTTGCTTTAGAATATTCAATTTCCTAATATGCAATTCCTAAGAATTCGGTTACAAGAACAATAAAAAATTGCTACTCTTAATTATATTGTAATACCATGTTTTTAATGCTTATTCATTCTTCTTTAGTTTCTCTTCAAATTTCATTTTCATTAGCATTAATTCAAATGAGATATCGTTACTTTTTAAATATGCCAACAATTCATCGTAGCCTCTCTGCAATTAATTAGGTTAGGAGAACCTTTGCTTCAATTATGCAACCATTAAACTTTCATTCATAATATAAATTTAATATTATATATTTTGTTGAACAATTCAATCATGCTTCTTATTGTTATATTTCATGCTTATTACTTAACTTGTAATTATTTAATACTTAAATAGAAAATATTCTCACAAGGTAAGAATGCCAAACTGATATATGTATTTGTCACGGTTCCTCACATCAATGTCGTTGTTATTTTTACCAAGCCCCTTATTGTGATGGCTATGGACCTAGTTCAACCTGCTTTACTAATCCTGGATGTTTGGGATGTGATGATAATTCATAATGTCTCAACTGCATTTCACAGAAATAATTTGTTGATTCATCCCAAAATTGTGTCGATTGCCCAGAACATTGTTTAACTTGTACATCAGAATCGAATTGTTAGAGCTGCATTACAAATAATTATTATTTAGATGCTGGACTTTGTAAATAATGTCAATTTCCATGTTAATCATGCAATTCATTACATAATTGCCTAACATGTGTGTCTTAATAATTTTATCTTATATCTGGTCTATGTAGACAATGTGATTCTCCATGTTTAACCTGCTTAACTCAAACCCAATGTCTAACTTGTGTAGATAATTCATATTATCTCGATTAATCAACTTGTATTCCATGCTAATCCCCATGTTTAACTTGTTCAAATTAAAACTTGTGTTTCAGTTGTGTTTCAAATGACTATTAACTCATTAATGGATTATGCATTGTTTAATGTCCTCTAAATTGCCTAATTTGTTAGAAAAGTCAACAATGCACTACTTGTGAAGATGGATACTATTTAAATGCTAGTTACAGTTGTGTAAAATGTTAAGATCCATGTGAAAATTGTCTAAGTCAAGAATTGTGTATTACATGTTAAAGTCTATACTATCAAAAAAATCAACATTGCATTTTATGTCAATAGCCTTGTAATACTTGTATAGATGAACAGAAATGCAGTAGTTGTGTAGATGGATATTATTTATTCAATCAGACTTGCAATTAGTGTTCATTAAACTGCTTGAAATGTGATTAATATAGATGTTATTAATGCAACAAATAATCATAATTGTTTAATGATTAATGCATAGACTGCACAATTCCTATGAATCACACATTTGATATTTGCAATTATCAAAATTGTCATGATGGAGTTTGGACTCATGGAGAAGAATGCGACAATGGTAATTCATATGGCTGCATTAATTGTACCATATAAAAGGGTTATTATTGCATTAATCTCAAAGGATATCCATCATAATGTTCAAGATGCATTCAAAATTGTATACAATGTGAAGCTAATAGATTCTGTTAAGTATGCAAGGATGGATATTTTTTAAATGCGAATCACTAATGTTAGGAATGCAATATAGAATGCAAAACCTGTTTTTATCAACCAAATAACTGCTCATCTTGTAAAATAATTAATAAGGATTTCTAATCATGTCAATTATGTGAAATCAATCATGGATATTACACAGATTTTGAAAATAACTAATGCTATTCAAAATGTGGAGACAACATCAAAACAACGTAAGAACAATGTGATGATGGGAACAATTTCAACGGAGATGGTTGTTCTTCCAATTGCTAAATTGAAGATGGTTTCTATTGTATTGATGGTCATTGTGATACTCTAATATAAGGTGAAATTCAAGTATCTTAATAATAGTTCAATTTTGATGCACCTTCTAAATAGTTTATTATTCAATTCAAAAACTATGCGTTGAATTCAGATTCAGAAATTGTACCTATCATCTAATTTTTAAATTGCTAAATTAATTAATCCTTGATTGTGGTTAAATAGAATATCACAGAAGAAATGTACTTTTAGCATAGGGTTATTGAAATAAACATCGAATTTGAGAATAATTGTATAAAAGATAAAATGGAGGTTAATATTGTTTAGAGATACAAAAACAACAGCAAAAAAAATATCGTTTTATCTTTTCTCACTTTTCAAATATTTGACATTTTATTCATTGAATAATGGAAATAACTGTTTAATGAAATAATGATCTCCTTCAATTAGACCCTATTTTACATTTTTGGTTTTGTGTGTTTAGCAACATTTATAACTGGAACAATCGAAGTTGTTTATAATGCAATCGATCTAATCCAAATGTTTTCATATTTAAAATATATTAATGTAAATTTACCATCCAATTTATAAAACTATTTTGACCTATTTAAATTTGCTTAATTGCAGTACTTTTCTAATTTCACAAAATAAGTGGCTCTGACATTTTTGACTCAAAAAGAATTAGAATAATATAATTTCTTGCCTGATAAAATTAAGAGGGATGGATATTACTCATATTGTCTGTTGAATTACCCGTTTTTATTTCTACTTTTTGTATTTGCCATACTCTTGTATCCTATGGCCAAATTGTTATTATCATAATTGCAAAGATTTTAAGTAAGGATAAAGGAAGATGATGATGATTCAATCCTATTAAAATTAAAACTCATTTAATTGCATATTAAATTATATATTCAATAATCCTGCCAATACGTAATCAATAAATTATACTTCTCAGGCTTCATTTCAACTCATATGATATTAACCTATGACATTCTATTTGTCTCATTACTTAATCTATTCGATTTAAAGTTACTATTTACAACTAACAATCCCTTTATTGCAATCAACGTGTATATAGCCATTCTTCTGACAACTATCCACTGCTTACTATTATTTATTTACTATTCTATGCTTGCCAAATAGACATATTTCCTAGAATAAAAAGACTACGTTCGAAAATGTGGCTCCCTCTTTGAAGGTCTAAAAATAAGTACAACTTCTTGTACTCACTTCTATAAACTGTTTACACTAATCAAAAAATCATTGTTTATGCTTCTGATAACTTTTTGCTCATCCTTCCCCTATTGTTAAAGCTTATCTATATCTTTTTTAAGTTTCATCCAAGTACTCTATTTGTTTAATTACAAACCAATCATTTCCCTCATAGAATATAGGAAACAATTAATTAGTGAATCTTGTGTATTAATATTATCCCTACTCATAACTTTGATCATACTTATGCATGACACTCATCAAGATATGTTTTTCTACTAGGATATTATAGGGTGGTGTTCTATAATGATTATAACTTTATTGTTACTCTTTTAAATAATATTGGATATCAGATAATAATTCCTACTATGTCAAAAACAGTTTATCCTATTTCACAATATATTAAAGTCAATCTAAACTAAGATATAAAAGGCTTTTGAGAATTTTAGTGCAACTCAAAGTAATGCGAATTCAAATGTGGTTCTATTTTACTGAAAATATCAGAAAATGATAATAATTCATATTTATGTTTTTAATAACCCTAACTACAGGCATAACAAATACTATTGGAAATATGTATCCTCCTCATAGGATTCTTGTTATAAAATAACTAGCCTAAAGATATTAATAAAATAAATATATTTTTATAATTCATTTTTTATTAGCATTCCAAGTTTTATTTGATTTCTTGAACTGCTGCATCATTTCTGCATCCTTCTACTCGTACTCATTGACTTTGGTTTTGTATGCTCTTTATTATTTTTCCAATTCCATTCTCTCCTCCTCTGTGTATGGTTTGTCTCTAATATGTCTTATCCATTCCTCCCATAATGGATCTACAAATGGTGCCATTTTGTCTGTTCTCTCACTCATCCTTCTAGTTGGTTTTCCATTTTAATCATAGTATTGATAGTAGAGGTTGCCATGTGGATCTGTTCCAACAAGTTGCCTACCTAGTTTTTGATCCTCATAAGTTCTTCGAAATTATTTAAGAGAGGTCACAATTTTACGAATCATATATATTATTTATTTTTATTAATCAATAGGCTGCGTGCATTGATTGCTACATGTTGCTGAATTAAGTTAATTCTGATTTATCAACTTTAAGGAGAGTTTGAATCCTTTTTTCAAAGACACTAACAGCCACAATAGAAGCAACAAAAATTGCGACATCCAAAAACTGCTTCTTCCTCTTCTCTCTTTCTGCTTTATTAGTAGGGTAGATTGACTTTTTAAGTTTTTCCCAAGTTGATCCGGAAGAGCCACCTCTTGGTTTTCCAAAATGCATTTTTATATTTTTATTTATGGTATATTTTTTTTAATATATATGATCAGCAAATGCTATATAAATTGTGAGATCATTCTTGATTTCAATAGTCTGCTCTTTTCGATACTGAAAAAGCAAAATCCCGATCTAAATTTAAGTAAATTAATCTATTTATCCCAATCCTAGGTTTGAACGATGTTTAAGAGAATCCCAAAAAGTACTTAGAAACCTAAGAATTGTTGCTGTAGAATTTAAGCATTTTAAAGCCATAGATAGGAGTCATCGAAACACGTAAGAATCAGATAAAATAGTTTTAGTGTAATTTCTGGAATCCTAACACATTTAACCAATCATCTATTCTGAATTCGCATAATTGTTGCAATAGCACTTCCCCTACTTGAACTGGCAAGAATTTACAGATTCAGATTAAAATGCTATATTCATAGATCCAAGAATAGATTTTTGCGAATAGTTACTTAAAAAGAATCTAAATGTAGTTCTGTTCAAGAATCATAAATTAAAGGATAAAGATTATTGGAATCAATTATTATAAAATAAACCAATCCTTTTTGCAGAATCCTGGGAAACCTTCCCTTGGTAATCATTTAAATTGGTTACTTAACCGATTTTTTCAGCCGATCAATATAAAGTAAATGAGAGTGAGAATGCTTCAACCAAGTACTGGAATACATTTATAAAATTGAATCCAATAGAATTCACAAGCAAGATAATTCATGGTAGAAACAGAGGCGGAACTATGTTAGGCATACCCACAGGTAATCATTCTTAATGAAAGTATTAGCAAATTTATAAATAAATGAGGAGATTTAATAACTAACCAAAAATCTATTGCCAGGGGTGTATGCAGGTATTACTTACCTTGAAAATAAGCAATATGGTGGAGTTTTGTCTATTGGATATAATCCATATTTTTTGGACACTCCCCAAACGATTGAAGTTCATCTTTATGGAGAATTTTAAGAGGACTTCTATGGTGCCAATTTAAGATTGATAATTACACATTTCCTTAGGCCAGAATCCGATTTTAGAACATTTGGTATTCCTTATAAATTAATCTATAGATCATCTGATTAAAGCAATTAGCAATGATAAGATAATAGCAAGGAAATTAGTGTGTTGATGATGTATTTTTATGAAATTAAGTCTGAATATTAATTTTAATACATTATTATAATGTACAAAGGACCTAATAATCTCAAAACTTATAAGGTGTCTGATTGTGAACCTCTTTTGAAGGATTTCTTTAATTCAGAGGATTGTTCGAATCTCTCCATAAGATAATGCGGTATTGCTATAAGACACAATTTATAATAATTGATTTCAATCATCTCAAAACTCTTAAGTGTTAGAAATATTGTGGCTGTTAAATAGAGATTGTATTGGTTAAATAAAATTACATCAATTGATATCACTGAATGCCTGATTTTAGGGATCAAGTCATCTTCTTAGAAAATTGAATTGCTTAAATTTATTTTAAATAACTTGAAAGATAGAGATTTCCAATAAGTTGCAGCATATTATCATGATGATATTGATTATACTACTTATATTGATTATGCAACTCTGTTGAAAGGTAATAATTATTTAGAGATTTTAAGATGGGAATATATTATTACAGATTTAGAGAAATGAGCAATAAAATAAATTCTTTGAAAAATTGCAATAGTAACTATAAAAATTTATCAACAAAGATATACAATTAGATGAATCATTGCTCATTGAATTGCTGCATTTATTATAAATAAACATGGATACTGCCTAGGCTATTATTTCAAAATATGTTTGGATGAACATCTAGGATTATGACAAATTGGATTATTTTGTTAATTCTGCCATAAAACTATAGCAATTGCAATATGTCAGTGTCATCTAAAATTAAGTAGAATCTTAACTAAAGGATAAATAATTAATATATAGTATTGCAAAGGAAATCCAAAGCAAAGATACTATCCATTAGTTTGTTTAAAAGTTCATGATTTCAAAATTAAATTAAAGTCAACTCTTCTAATAATACTAATTGTAAATGGCAGTTTCAAAATATATAATGACAAATCAGAAACCAAATGCATACTTTTAAACTTTAGATTTTATAGCTAGTATATAATACTTTAATGAGATCTTGGTGGTGTCCAATTATTTTTGGAATAAAGGAGAAGTTTAGTAAAATATTGTTAGTCCTCTAAAAGATATTACACTCCCAATCACTAAATAAATAGAATAATAGTTCAAAAGTATTCCAGTTCAAACTCATAAAATATTTCAACTCTTTCAAATTGTTTTATAGGTTTAGTATAAAAATACCATTCTGTTTGTTACTTTACAAGAATTAGCACTATTATAACAATTTTAGAAAGTTAATTAAGCTAAAATCAATAATATCGAATGGGCTTAGAGATTAATAACCATAGGGGTGTTTAAAAAAATTAATAGCAATGAACTTTAAATATGTGAGGAGAATTTTAACTTATTGTAAAATTTTGAATTTGCTTAGAAACCTGAAGTGAAGAAGTAGGAGATTTTAATAGAGGAGTATGAATAAAATAAAAAGCTTATGTATTATTTTGAGTTTATATTGTAGAATAGAGGCAGGGATCATGAAGATTATGAAATAGGAGAAAAAGATGTAGCAGTAGACTCTGTATGGAAAACTAGCTTAATTGATAAAGAGATCTGTAATTCTAACAGAGATTGAGTTGATAGAGTCAATAAAAGGACTTGTGAAAAGAGATTTGCTATGTTATGAAAATGATGTTGTATTTTATAGTATATGAGACTGGCCATTTGAATATATTTATTTTAATGGATATTATTCATTTATTATCAAAAGATAATATGATTGCTATGCATTATTTATAAGGAAATTAAAATTAAGAATTGAATTCGTAATGTAATAAATTAGAATGGATAATTGAATTAATAAAGTTTATTTTAATTAAAATGTTCAGAGCAACCGAAATACATCTTTATAAACTGTATGTTGAAAGAGAATAAGCTTTCCATCTCCTCACTAAAGTTGGGCAAATGAAAAATGTTAATTTAATCAATTGTTCAAGCAGTGCATTTCATGAACATGATTATTACAAATAATTAAAACGATGTGATGATATTTATAACAAAATTGGTGAGATCAAACACCTTCTGCACTTATATAACAAATAAATCCATTACTGTCCTAACTATGAAGTATTCATTTCAAACATCAAAATTACTGACGATTAGGCCATAAAAATTGAATAAGAACTAACACACAAAGTCCAATTTATTTTGAATCAATAAGCAAATCTACAATCGATTATGGAATAAAGGAACAAATTAGGCGAAGAGATGTATATATAAGATTAAATTTAAGTGCAGTTTTACAACATTGCAAAGACTTCATATACAAATTTTCAGGAATCTAATTAGGGTATATAGTTGGATGTCTTAATACAATTGACTCGCACAAGTTTAATCGAATAGTATTTAGAATTTCAAAGGAAAATGGAATTGTTAAATTTAAGAATTTAAATAATTAGAGAACTCTATTCACGTTGGTTTTTGCTTTGGGTAAACATGAGAATTTAAAAAATAAATTACTAAAGATATGCGAAGTAATTTCATACATAATCAATCTAGGCATTTAATGTATCCATAATTTAGGTACCTGAAGAGAGCAAAGTAGAAAATAAAATCTTGGAATTAGAAAATGATATAGCCAATTTGGATATTGTCATCTCAACAACCAAATAAGAAATAGACTAACAATTGGATTTCTTTTCAGATATTTAAGTGGAGAAAGTCTTAAATTTAGATGAAATCTATGATTATGGATATTGCTCCTATATTTGCGAATTGAATATCATTTTAGATATAATAAGTGCAACTTATTATCATCTAACATTTTTTGAAGCTAAATCTCAATTTTTGATTGGACAAATATGGTGTGAATAAAGTGACATTGAAGAAATCAAATCATTTGGAGTTCAAGTTGAAATTATGTAGGACATTAATGAAAATATTTATGAACCACCAAGTCTAATGAAAACCAATGATTTTACCTACATTTTCTAAGAATTAGTCAACACATATGGCATTCCAAGATTCGATGAAATAAATCCTGGACTTTTCACAGTAATTACTTTCCCATTTTTATTTGGTATGATGTTTGGAGATATTGGACATGGAGTAAAATATTTTCTATATAAAGGTAGTATTAACACTCTTTGGTTTCTATTTATTAATCTTTGGTTAGAGAGTCCTTAAAAGAATCAAATTAGAAAATAGCAGTGACTATCTTGCATATGCAGACTTTTAGAGCTTATATCAATGTAGGTATCTCCTTACTTTGATGGGTCTTTTTGCTACATATTGTGGTTTTATTTATAATGATTTCTTTTCGATATCATTAGAGTATAAATTAGAAAAGTTCTAATTGGGTTTTGATGGTAAATGGAGTATGTCAGAATCCCACCTTACAGTAATGAATTCCTTCAAAATGAAAACTGCAATAATCGTTGGAGTAACTCAAATGGTCTTTGGAATCCTTCTGAAAGGTTGGAATTGTTTATATTAACGAAAATTTATTGACTTCATCTTTAACTTTTTACCTGAACTGGCTTTCATGCTCTCAACCTTTGGTTATATGTCATTTTTAATAATCCTTAAATGGCTGACTAACTACAATAATAATCAAGAACCACCCTCAATTATTACCACACTTCTTAATATGGTCTTTACTTTAGGAGGAATCAAAGGAACTGAGATGTATCCTCATTAAGTTTACTATTAATCTATATTGATAAGAGTTGCCATCTGTTCTCCAATAATCATGTTACTTAAACCTGAAGTCCTTAGAATAAAGAGAATGTTTTTTAATCAAAGAAATTAATAAATTGTTTATAATGAATTAATAGAATAAGAACATGGCTAAATAGAATAAATGAAGGAGGAGAAACACTAACTTTTTGGCAAATTAGTAGAAAGTAGAGCTATTAAAGAAGAGAAGCATTTCGATTATTCAGAGGTTTATATTGAAAGCTTAATTGAATGCATAGAATTTGTATTGGGAGCTGTTTCTAATACAGCTTCATATTTGAGATTGTGGGCACTTAGTTTGGCACATTCTCAATTATCTGAAGTATTCCATATTATGATATCTTTAGGTTTTCTTCAAAATGTCTTTGGAACCATAATTACAAACTGGATCGATTGTTGGAATTTGTTTAACTTTTACGATATATGCTTTGGCAACCTTTGGAGTTCTGATGTGCATGGATACTCTAGAATGCTTTCTACATTCATTACGCTTACACTGGGTTGAATTTTAAAGCAAATTTTATAAAGGAGATGGACATAGTTTCTAAAGATTTAATTATCTTCAATTCTTAGATTAGAAGTTTTAATTTAGTACAAGAATGTGAGTGAAAATATATTTTTAAATACAATATACATCTCGTGCTATCGTTATTAAAGTGAAAAAAGGCAAAATTATATATGCTTATATATATATAAAAATCTGATAATATTTTTTGAATAAAATTTATAAATCAATGCTCATAGAGTTTCAATGTTAAAAATAGACCCATTTGAATTAGGAAATAGTAGGATTTTGTCTTAATTCAGATTGCAAATAAACTCGATAATATTGTTATAAATGTTTAAATGATTAATTACATTAAAATTGTAGGAATAATCTTCAGAACATTTATTAGATTGAAGAACTCATTTAAACTCATTTGACTTACTTAGAATATCTTTGGAACAAATTGAATTAGAAATTCAAAATATTAGAAAAGGCTTGGATCAATTTCATGAATGATCTCCAAAAGAAATAAGAAAATATATTAAAAATATGGGACATTTTAAAAAATCATAACTATTACTTACTAAAGAGCAATCTACCCTCAATAATCTAATTTTTTTTGTCTTTACATAGTAATAATAGCCAAAACAAATTTTAAACAGGTATATAATAGAATATATTTTTTTAGGGTTGAAATTAGCAAAATCCTGTGACTTATTGAATGCTATTAAAATATTTGATGAAATTCTTAAAATAGATGAAAGATATACAGATTGCTATTATTAAAAAGGTGTTAAATAATAATATATTAGGTTTGGCCTTGATGAATCTAGATAAAAAAAACTTAGATTATTTGTAAAAATCTGTTTATTGTTTTCAAAAAGCTATTGAAATTGATTAATTTCACTTTGATGCCTATAAAAATTAAGGTTATATTCAGTTATTTATATGTAGGGATCTGTCTTTTTTAATTGGAATAATATGATTAAGCATTAAAGTGTTTCGATTGTGCAATCAATTATGGACTTTATGACAAAGAGTGTTTGCTTTACAAAGGTTACTTATATTTAAATTTTAGCTAAAGTTTTACAAATAAATGATCGAAATTTAGAGGCTTGCAAAATTTTCGACAAAATAATAGAGGAGGATAGTCGAGATGTAGAGTCTTACTTTTACAAAGGTGTCTTAATTATTCTTATATAGGTTGAGGTTTATCCTTATATCACTTAAAAGAGTATTAATAGGCATAACAATATTTTGATAAAACTATTAACCTTGATCCAAAGTATTGTAAAGCATATCTCTGCTAGGGTAATTTCAATTTTAAACCTTAGGTGATTTATTGCTTGACTTAGAAAAAGAAGATGAGGCTAGAAATTACTTTGATAAGGTAATTGAAATAGATCCTAAGAATTTATATGCATATTTAGGAAAAAGTAAATATAATTATTACTTTGAGTCCTGACGTTTAAAAATTTCTAAAACAAAATGAAAACACTAAATGAAGCAATAGAAGCAGGGAATAAATCTAATAAATTATTGCTAATAAAAGGTATTATGATCTTAGCATTAGGGGACTTGTTACAGAATGAAAGAAATTATGATCAAGCTATTGAATAATATAATGAGTTGATAGGTAGTAAACTTTCTACATAAGAATCCTGGATGCTTTATTATAATAAAGGAACGTATTTAACTTATTAACTTTAGGCTTTTGTTTATATAAAATGAAGAGATTTAAAGAAGCTTATGAAGAATTGATTAAAGCAAGAGATATTGAATCTCAAAAAATTGAACTTTTAATTTATTTAGGTTGACTGTGTTAATAATAAATTAGGTTATTCATTATAAAGGTTGTCTAAACATTAAGAAGCAATAAAATATCTTGATGAGATATTAAAAAAAGGCGTCTAGAACGAATATATCTATTATAAAAAAGGTTGATTCTACTTATTACAATCATAGGAAAATCTCTACATCTACAAGGATACTATATTCAGGCTATATCGTGCTTTGATTAAGCCATAATGAAGTGTGAAAAGTTTGCAAAAGCTCACGAATTAAAAAGTAACACATTATAAATGATTTTGTATTAAATAGGTAAATCCTTAATCTGTTTGGGAAGAAAAACTGAGGGAAGCAGATATCTTGAAAAAGCAAATAAATTAACACAAGAATCTGTTAGAAAAAATACATCAGGTTCTTTATATTCGACATCTGAATCATATCAAATTGGTAGTATTCTAAAATAAAGAAAATATTGAGCCAAATTAAAATATTAATGATATTAATGTTATTCCCAATTCTTAAACCCCTTATCTTTTAGAATTGATATCTTTTCAAAATACAAATTTTCAGAGATATTTTTATTGGAATTTTTCTTAGTTCTATGTTAGTTAGTTAGTTAGAGTATTTATTAAACTGAGAAAAAATATATCAAGATGATGAAATGCATACTTTTAAGATATTTAATTATAGAGATAAGATATTTGTTGATGTTGAAAGTTAAAATTGTCTTTAAAAGGATACGACAAGACAAATTAAATATTCTTATATCAACTTATTAAGTTCTTGAAAAAAAATTAATAAAGGAATTTAAAATCTTTTATTCTCAAATTCAATGTTCAAATTGATTAAGAAAGCATCTTTCGATTTCATATCATAATTATATAATAATTATTATATCAATAAGAATTAATTGATTAAATATAATGTAAGGACTTCTAAAGACAGCAGCTGAAGAAATGCTTTCTAAAGCCATTCGAACCTATACTTTTAATGATTTGATTGTTATTGGCCGACATCCATACAAAAGTTTACCTGAAATGTTAGCATAATACCCAAATAATGGAGTAGGATTTAAAGTATGGAGAAAGACTTGGCCAGAAAATAAATTTATAATTATTACTGAAGCACATTTCAAAGTAAGAGATTTATTTTACCGGATTTAAGGGATTGAGAAATGGCAAATTTTTTGGTATCTAATATTACAATGGCAGACCACTTACACCATAGCCAATAAAAATTAGAAATTGTAGTAAGAGAGGAACTTGGAAATATGATACAAATAATACATCGGGAGTATCTACAAATGGTGTCTACTTTAGTGCAGATGATTTGAAAGAGTATTCAAAATTACATCAAAATAGAGAGCAAAAAGAGTGATATTATATTTGTTACATAATATTAATGAATAATATATATCCATATGTAAATTTTTATCAGTAAAGAAATTGATAGATGAATTTCATTTCAAATCACTAGCTCTTCTTGAGTGTGTTCTTGTTGTAGCATTCTTATTTCCTTTTGTATCTAGAGTTATTACAGAATATTTTGGCATTATAGTAGTGATCATGCTTTTTATAGGAGAAATGCCAACAATTCTGCTTGTATTTGTTGAATTAAAATGTTTTGTCGAAATAATAGGAATTCTCTCACTCCGATGACCATGATTAGCTATTTTCCTTAATATCTCTCTTCTTGTGTTCTATTATTAAGTCTAAATAATACATTTAAACGTTCCTTCAACATTTCAGGTCTCAATTTTTGGAGGCCTCGATAAGTGGCTGGACATAGCATTTCTTACTTTGCTAATTTACTTAGATCTTATGATACATTGACACCTTTGTCAATTTGAACATGACAATTATAGCAAACATTAAATTCCATTTCTAGAAATCCTGGATTACCCAATAATTCTTTATATTATGAATATTTTAATTTAGGAAAGATCTTTCTGATAAAAGTTGGTATCAAATAATTTTAATTAACTTATCTCAATTCTATATCTTATCTTACATCTAATTTTTCAGCCATAGTTTTTTTTCTGAGTAATACTTCTTATTTCTTTGTTACAAATAATTTATCATTATCGCCCATATGATCGAATTTCCAACTCTCAATAATATTTTTTATCTATGTCTTCAATAAATCATTTCTATGAAATAAAGTATCACACATCTCACAATGACAGTCTTTCATTATATTCTTATGTTATTTGAGTACTAACTTTTCTTAATCAATAAATTAAGGAAGACTAAGAGATTTCATTTACACTTATTCCTAGGTAGACCATTTCATAAGAACACAATTAGTAAGCCAAATCTAACCAGAGTTATCTATTTTGATTTCCAATGTCATTCTAATAATTTTAGATTTCCACTTCATTAAATCATTACCATGAGTAGCAATTGCTCCACTAAAATGCTCTAATCTCTCTGTCAAAGATTTACTATTAATCTATTAAGCCAGTGTTCCATCTCTTTCATGAGTTAATGCTCTTTGATAAATATCGACTGTTTTATCAGATAGCATGAATTTGCTCTCAAACTTTTCAAATAGTGATTAATTCTAACACCATTAAATTAATATTGTGAAATTATAGTTCCCCTTTGGATAAACGAACCTTTAAAGAATGCCATCTTTTTAGCCTTCATGCTAAAAGAATTTACTTAAACTCTCCTTGTTAAAAATTTGTAATTCTGATTTGGTTCTCCAAATAGCCACTATTTCTTGATTTAATTCTAAAAAGTATTAACTAATGTAATTATCATCCAATTTGATTCTTGATTTCATTCTCACCTGAGCTTTCTTACTGAAAAACCATTATTTAGGAATTGAATTCTCGTAAAATATTGTGTCTGGAACATTCGCAGATAAGACTAAATACATTTAAATTCTTACAATAATCTCCAATTGGATTCTGCAAATGCAAGAAAGACAACAAATTGATTATTGGCTATTCATGAATTTCCATTTAATTTTAATAATATATATAATTATTATAATTGAATAAATTTCTTACTAAATACATTACTATTTACGCTATTTAATTAATTCAGAAATCCAAAAAAAATAAAAACAATATATAAAAATAGCATTATGCATAATTACAATTTCGAACATTAAGTTCTTTAAGATTGTTCCCTAAATTTTGATTTTAATATCAACTAATCAAGTGATTTGACCATGCAATCAAAGCATCAAACCTTTTCTTCGAATAAAATTCAAATATGAATAGAAAATTTCATAATCCTCTACTCCTTTCTGATCTTAAATTCTGTTTATTTAGTTGAGTCATCTTCTACTGAGGCTCTGTTGTGATGATTTATAATTATTTGTCTAATATTAATATTTTTTGGATTTCAGAATTCCATATTTAATTTAATACTTTTTAATTAGATTATCCAAAGAAGGAGACAAGGATGTATAATATTTAATCAGAGAATGAATTTAAGAACATTTGATGATCTGTTAATGACTTTTGATATTTATAAATTATGAATAATGGTAATGTACATATCTAATAATGTCATAATAATAGAGAATGCACTAGAGAGTCTGATTTTAGTTTCTGCAAATTATTTGGAAGTTAGGATATCCTTGAGTATTTGGCTTTTGGTTTTCTCAATTTCTTAAAGCTTTCTTAATCGAGATACTAAACAATCTCAATGTTTCCATCCAAAAGTAGTTTTGGGAAATAGGAATTGTTTATATTAAAGTGGGCTTCCATTAAATAATTTATTACCTCAAATAAATTATATTTGTATGAAATAAATCTGAATATCTTTTAGATTATTTATAATCAGAATAATTCAGTTGATAATTAAATAGTTTAATACCAGAATTGGTAGTACATAAAATTTTTAGTAATAAGGCAATGATTAATGGATGATGTATCAATGTATTAGTCTAATGAAAAACAGAATAATAAAATTTATTATCACATTAAATGTCTTATAGTTCATAATAATCTATAAAATTGGATGATTATCGAGATATAGCTGTTGACATATCATAAAGTTTGATTGCTGTTCGTTCGATAATACGAGAGATATTAAGACGTTCTAGTGTGATTTTAATAGAAAAGCATCTCGAATAATCTATTCCTCTGATAATGCCAAAATGGACTCTATAGTTTTCAGAGGATGTTGTGTCGTTGGGCATTCATGAACCTGATGAGATGATGACAGAGAAGATTAATTAGGGTTTAGTTCTAGAAACAGAACCAGAAATAAGAATTCAAGATTGTTGGAGAAGTTATATTGCAAATATTGACCTGCGATTTCACCAGACTACACATACCAGTCATAGTGTGACGAAATCTCATTTCTCTTTTAATCCAGGATATCAGAGAAGTTCGGTTACAATAAAGAGAGCTTCATAAATACTAAAAACTCAATTCGAACCATTTGAGCCAGAGTTTGTTAATATGTAACAAAAAGTAGAGGACGATCCCTTTGATTAAGGATTAAGATAGCAGTTGGAGAGAGATTAATAATTGCGACAGTAGAAATGGTAGGCTGAACAATAGAGGATTGCAGAGAAGAAAGAATAATTGAGATAGATCAGACTATTGGCAAGTTCATTCACAGGCGATAAGAAATATACGTTTGATTATGAGGGGAAGTTCATGCCATAGAATATACCTCAGGTTGAGTAATTAGCACCTATCAGACCCAGAGTAAGTTCGATGGTACAATTTTCAGAAAAGAATAAGGTAATTGAATTTGGGAAGTCATTTGCTCATGTGAAAATAGAGGGAGATAAACCTTTTTTGGGGAGTCAAATGAATTTCTAATAGAAATAATAATAGAATGTATTTGATCAAATAGAAGTAGCTAAAGGTGTTACTTTGACAGAAGGTTAGAATTAAAAATAAGGACCTTCATTCTCGAATAATTAGAATTTATAATTATGGGAGGAGGGATTGAAGTTAACTAAAAGTGAATATTAATAATTTGTGTAAGGAATTTAAGGAGGAGTGAAAATATCAAAGATTATCCAAGATACATCATCTATTAATGATATAGAGCCATCTCGAGTGAATTTAAATACATCTATAGTAAATTCTACAACTGTGAAGGAGGGTTCAATCAGGATAGATGGAAACATCAGTGTGGAAGAATTGTTGATTACAGAAGAACCAACACCTATTAAAATCGATGTTTAATAGCCATTACCGAAGTTGCTATTAAAATAAAAAGATCTCTCATAATTATTAACTATCACTACTGAAGCATTGAAATAGGGGAAACCGAAATTACCAAAAGCGATGAGCTCGTAACATTCACTACCTCAACTTACTAAGAATCCTAGAGATAGAACGATAAGTTAACTGTAGAAATTTAAAATGATTATTAAGTAATGATAATCTAATTTGTTATTCAAATTATAGAGAGTCCTCCTTCCTTCAATTTTTATCTGAGTACCAGTCTTTAATCTATTTACATCTTATTATATCATACCATATTATTCATCCAAGTAGAACAGGATCTGATTATCTATGGCAATCAAATAGATGTGTTTAATCTCATTCTATTCTGTAATGAGACATCTATCAAAGCTAATATGAAGTGCTTAGACTCCGCTTCCCCTTTTGGCTCCCCTTCTAGACATGTATCTTATCATATTTCAACATTCCTAATTGTTGTTGCTGCAACTTCAAGTCAAATATGTCATAATAATAAATAAAAGGATCGCTTCTAGACCCTATTTCATCCCCTTGTTGATTCGACGAATACAACAACTTAGATAATCAATATAAACTGATACAAATTTAGATGAGAAGGGAGTTGTGAACAGGATATTCTTGGAAACCTTATCCATTAATTGTATAGTCTGCAAATACTATTTCCCATTTATTGTGTATAATGAAATTTAAGAGTTTGAACTCTTAAATACTAGAAAGTGAAGCTAGATGCAACATTGACTAATTTTATCTGAGTTATCCAATTAAATTGTTTGTAATAAGCTGTAAATTATAATATAAATATTACTCTCCTTCCAAAGTAAACAAACTCGCTATGTTCTTTTGATCTACTGTTAATATGTTTAAATCTGTTAAATCGATACTCACAATTCCATTCCTTAATTACTTTGAGAGGACTCCCTTAGCTTAAATTTATTATCCGAATTGGAGTTAAAATAATTAGAGTAAGCCATCCAAAGATCCTACAGCTAAAATCTTAGTTACAGCATGGTATCTAACACAAGATGCCCTTTTTTATCTCTTTGCATTTGAAATAGAAACATCTATCCTGAGTTCAGTCATCTTATTCTTTAGGTCATAGATTTTTACACTCTTATCTAAGAATCCTACCAAACAGAAATATAAATTGTAATTCTGTTTCTCCTCGTAAATACTATAAAATTAAGAGTCAAATCCATCTCCAAAATAATGCTCTTATTCATAAATGAAAGTAAACATATTCTAAGGATTGCATCCATCCACTTTTATCTCAGGCAACTTCGCCAACTATTTTGGTTGACAATGGTAATAATAATATCCCTCCTCTTCTTACTGTTTAGTCTCCAATAAGGTTAGATGATTGTATTTGTCATTATCCGCCTTCAAAATATAAAAGCATTTCTTCGAATAAGGGTAAAATCCTAGTATTGATGATTTGTCCAGATCAAGCTTGGATTAATAGATAAACCCCTTATTTGCTTTATTCGGATTTTCACCAAAGTAGGGGATCTAATTCGTGTATAACGATAAACTATATTTCTTTTTCTAATGAGCTTTCTGAAACAATTGTTTAGGGGTTTAACCAAAGTAATACACCTGAGTTAAATATGATTGAATGGTTCCATGGTCCTCATTCTTATTTAAAATCAATTGTAGGTTTTGTTCATAAGTCAAATAATGAAAGACATTCACATTTTCCACTGCATTTTATCCATTATTGTTGATTCCAAATATCAGATCAATCCAATGATTCAATTGACTCGATACTGCATCACTTTCCAATGCTTATCTCATCCTATACACAAACTCTTCAGCTGTCTAGGTCTTGACCCACTTGGGTAATTCTACATCAGTGACTCTAGATTGTGATTGCAATGTCCCAAAATCGAAGAAGTTTCTAAGTATACAAATGAAATTACATGTTCCTTAGAAATTCAGGCATATAGTAAAATTCTGGTATCAATTCTTTGTTGTCTTATTTTACACTGTTTTCCCATAGGATGTCTATTTTAGAGAACAATCGATCTGCCACATCGAATTTATCTATTGAATAATGATGTTAATTTACTTTTTTATAACGAAAAATGCAGTTCATTAAAAGGCTCTAATCTTATTAAATAGTTGAAAACAATTGCAGCATTTGAATAATGGGATCCATACATGAAGTTTTCGTCAATACAATCCAGATCTCTCTCCTTATAATCTTTTAAGATATCTTCAGATTTCTTTGATATTGCACCCATTGGTAATTTAAGATTTCTAAGTTAATTTCCTTATTTCCTCCAGGCAAAATCAATTTGTTATGATTTATAATTTGAAATGACCCAAGGAAATATGAAGTATTAACTTAGATCATTATAGGTTCTTCCTGAAAATGTATTGACTAACATTAAATATTGGAAATTGGATAACTATCCTCCAACCCAATTCTATTAATAATTCCTCTTCCTAAATTCTTCAATTGGATCAACTACTTAGACTTTCTTTCTCTTTAATTCTGACACTAATTCTTGTTGTTTTTCATATCTATATAAATTGAAAAAGAAGTTCTGTCTATGAAGAAATATCTCAATAGCAATCTCATTTAATAAAAATCTCTTTGGATGCACACTAAGTATTTGAGACAGAGATATTTCCAGAAATATTTCTTCAGTTGTTTATTTAACTTCTGGACTAGTAAATAATTCCTTTATGTCAATTTTTTCTGATTTGAATATAAGAGATTGATTCTTATCATTAAATCTCAACACTCCTTGATAGGCTGCTTCTTAAGTTATATATTCACAAAAATATTTGGCAGTTACTAATTAATTACTATCTGATGACCCCTTTCTAAAACTTGAAATGATTGCACTAGCTTAATTTGTTATTAGTTATTCGGATCTAATAGATGATCTTCGTTTGGCTCTCTTAATTAAACTTTGACTCAAAGATTCTTCTATGTTATCCGATTTTTACAATAAGATTGTAAAGGAAGTATTGATATTTGATTTACTTTTGTCTATGCTTGATTCCTCAAGAGTGATTAGTTTCTTTCTGGCTTAATTATTAGTCTTTAAGTATGGTTTATAAAAGTTTTTCATTTTTATTTAAGTTAAATGTGGTCTTCTTCTGGTGATATCTTCCAAATGGCAAACCTACATTTTCATTTGCATATTCTCCAAAACTTCAAATTTAAATTCTTGGTGGGAGATAAAATTATTTAGTTCTTAATAGAGAACTTGGAGATAGTCATCTACAAAAAACCATAAGCCTTGTCTTTACTTTAAGTCAAGACACTCTTTATCCCAGTATTTCTTAGCGGAATCTCTAAAAATGGGTATACTCATTTCAGAGAAGGATGAGTGGTGATGTGCTGATAGATTACTTTATGTCTTTGGCATCTCAGTAAAATCAGCTATCTTAGGAAACAACAACCAAATTTTATGAACGAATTGGTAATATATTTGAAAATCCATAAATATACTTTATTGAATCGCAAATGCAGTATCCTCTCTGATTTGATCAATCTATGATAAATCAAACGTGTTTTGCAACGATTTTAAATTGTTCTATTTATTTTCTGTTCTAATTTTATTCAGTTAATTCAAAGCCATTAATATCTAATCTTAAGATGCTTCCTATTAATAAATTAAACATTCAACATAATTTTGATTCACATTTTTCCATTCATATAATTTAGTCAATTAATACTTCCCAAATATTTCTTGTAGACTATGTAAATATTAATAATTCTTACTTCTTAATTTATGTTTCATCAAATGAACTGTCTTAGGAAAGAGCGTAATAAATTAAACTCTAGTAAAAATTAGAATGCTTCCTTGTTCTTGATTTCCTTACTATTGTTTCTTTTTATTTAACTCTTTAAAATCCAGCATCTTGAAACAACTAATTGTAGTTTTTTAATTAGATTTTCTTAGTTTACAAAAGAGGAGCTGAAAATTCTTTATCTATTAATTTTTTTACTAATAGACAACTTTATTAGTCAATCTTACCATCTAAGCAATTCTTTTTGTTGATAGACAGATAATTTTTTATTGGTTTTTTCATCTATGGTACTTTAACATATGGTGCTATCAATTGTCTCATTAATCTTTTTATGCCTCCATTGGGAAGAACTCTATTGCTCTATTTTCTTTGCTTCTCAAACTCTTATTTGACGGTGTCCCAATTAAAATTATCATCATTTTCAGGCATGTAGAAATTGCGATCATAGAATAAGACATCCAAATAATTAAAGAGATCAATCCCTTTGTCCATTATCTAAGAATATAGGTTCCAATTCACAAATTCCTAATCTGATATCTCTCCAAAGCATTATTCAATATGTAGATATGCTGTTATAATACTTATCAATTTTCTCTCATCTTCTTGTCCTTAAAATTACTGTACCTACTTCATAGCATAAAACTGTATTATTATAGGATATATAGCTTATAGAAATGAATTAAAACTATCCTTATTGAACAAATTGCTTTCAATGTGAACTTTATATAAAATCTCACTTGTGCATTTAGGATACACTTCTATTAGATATATTATGAAATAAGTGAATAATTCCGAAGAGTTTTACTTCTTATTTATAGAATGAGGCATTAGATGTTTCATTAACAGAGCAAAATCTGAAAACTGCATCAGATTCATTATTAAAACCTCTGATTACTATTTTCTTAAGACAACACTCTTAAATATGTCCAAAAAATAACTCGTCAGGGTTTCCTTCATGGCATCTTTTATCTACTGGTTTGCATACAATTAATTCAAAAACTTCAATAGTTGATGAATTAAATTCTCATCCTTCTCATTTTGACTTATTAATGATAATATTTTTGAAATAAAAAAGTATCCAACCTCTGTTTATGTTTGAGGTGAAAAATAATCATAATAAATTTACAATGACCCTAATTCTGTATCCTTTTTTGAATTAACCCTCTGCTTTTAAACTATTGAAACATAAATTGAAAAAGTTAATTCATATAATTTGTCAAATACCTCTGATTCATACATAAAATATTAATTTATTGTATGGAATTTATTTTACTTATCTAAAATTTATACAATGTTCTTTTTATAACTGTTTAATAAATTGTCCTCTTCCGATTTCAATTTACTTTTTGATTTCATTAAATCTACTATCAATACCTCTATTATTTATAATATGTCTAAAGTAAATAGATTAAACTGTTCTTAACTTAATAGCAAATTAAAAAATTCAGAAAGGCGAGGAAAATCTATTGTTCGCACAACTCCTTAATATTGGATGCATTTAGTTAAGGAATGTGAAAATAAATTATTTGATTCAAGGTTGATGAAAGGTTTAGCCTTTGTTAATGAAACTTAAGTAAATATTTATCTGCTTTCAAAATATAGTTGAACACTAATTAATTAATTTAAATTTTCTGGCTTGAGTAATGTTTGAATTACTATTGACTTGAATATCAATTTCATCTATTCAACAGTTGTTATTTTATTGTCTAATATCTTTATAACAGTTATTAAATATTAAATAGAAGTCTTCTCATCTCCTATTTTAGAAAAAATCGATAACAATTATTTAATGAACTAATCTGAAACTTGTTAATTTATTTAAATCCATTATTTGCAATGTTCCTCAAATATTTTAAGATTTCTAGAATCAACAAATCTAGACACTTAGGAAGCCTACCTTTATATGTCTTCCTCAAACAATTTCAAAATCAAAATCAAAATCTCTTCAGAATCACTTAGATTTGTATTTTCATATACAGCATATAATACATCCAATGCCATATAAAAGACATTGTACCCTCCTGACTTTTATATGAAATCAAGTCCTTTTTTCATATCCAAAATATAGACATTTTGACTGCACATTATAGGTTGAATTTGTCTACAAGGGGTAATCAAAAAGATATCATCAAATTCAATTTCCTCTTCAATTATGACTCCTGAATTAATAAAGTTTTTAGTTTGCTTCTATAGATTTGTATTACTAGATTGTTCAAACTTAATTTTTTAGTCATTTATTATAAAATTGAATTCTGATATTTATCCATCGAATGATTAATTCAAAAATATAAAAGAATCAAGGAATTATGTTTAAAACTTTTGTTTTTTATTCATTTGTTGTGATTATTCTATATCAAAATTCAATGTAACTCCCAAAACGAATTAATTAAGTTATAGTATTTGATTTTGAGGTAATTTGAATTACAGAGTATATTTAGTTTCATTAATCTCAAGTATCATTTATGGATTGTTATTATTATTTTTTATGTAAAAATTCAAATTAAACCACTATGATAAATCGAATTTGATTGAGATCCCTTCTTCCTAATCATATTCATCCTATTTATAAGTGATGATAAATTTCTATTTATTAATTGATATTTGAATTTCTTAGTTTTTTGCAAATATTAATGTAAATATGATCAATTTTCCAACATACTCAGAATTAACTAAAAATGACCCAAAACTCATTCTATCTAAATATTACATACTCGGAGTTTCATTTTCCTAGACGATAAGTCTTAATTTCATTCTAATCTCAATTAATTAAATGGGTATAACAAGATTCAAATTGACCTGAATAGATGATGATCCACCTTAAAAATATAAAAGATTTGATTATTTTTATAGGGATTACAAAATTTCCTGCCACTATTAGTAAACCTATAGAAAAATCTCCAAAATTATCTTAACAACTTTAATGTAATAATTTTTATCATCAACCAATCTTAATAATAGACTACTTTGAAGTAATAAAGGAATTCGATAAGGTGATAAGTTTGCCAATCTATATGCTTATTAAATATCATCCTTATCATTAACATCTAATTACATTTCATCAAGATCATTCATCAATATTGTGGATTAATGATAACTTAGTGTTTCAAATAGTTATTTTATTATTTAAGGATCTTAGTTCAATGAAACCACAATGATTGCACATTGTTTCATTAAACTAATTACTTCAGGGTCTCTTTCAATTCTGAAATAGAAAATAAACTTAGGACAAAAATCTGTAAACGAAAGCACAAGGGAGATCTGGGTTTTTAGTTGAAATCTCAAAATTTGCAAATAAAATGTCCTATCTATTGTGATATTTGGCACTTCAAACAGTATACTTAAGCTTGTTTCATAGAATTTGTTAAAAATCAATTTCATTTGAACTCGTTTTTCGTTTAATTATTCAAATACATCTTAGGGATTTATTAAATTATTATTTTTATCAAAATAAGACTCTTTAATATAATTGATATAATCATATCCATGAGCAATAGAATTGATATTATTAATTATTTAGTAAAGAGTATTCGATGAAAGATTGTTGGTTTTCTGTAGAATAACTATTAAGTTGATTGTGAATTTATAATGAATCTGACATAATTCCAAACTGATTTATTAAATGCCTCCTGAATTTAATATGCTCTTATCTTCAATCAACCAATATATTAAGTATATGATATAAGTGATTTTATGATAGATTTCGGTGTATAATTAATGTTATTTTTCGACAGAATTAAAATTAGATTCCTTGATCATAAGATCATAAACATTTTTTATTATTGTTATAAAAATTCTCATATTGGACAATAGAAAATCCAGGATTCTAGTTCCTTTTCCCTTCTTATAATTGATATTTCTCTTATTTTATTTTTTCTTGTTTATCTTACAAGAACCCATTAAAAAGTGGATAAATTTGAGAATATGGGGTAGGCTTTCAGAATTGATTGAGATGGACTAATATAATATAGAATTTAATTACATCTTAAATGAAAACCAAGAAACCATAACTATGTTGTTTGCTTCTTGAGGAATTTTTAATCGCAATATCGATAATTTATTAATAAATTTATTCATCTTCTAGCAACTGTAAGATTTTTTAATCAAACTTCTTGTAATATTATTCATCCTTGATTTCTTAAGAATAAAACTAAATAATCAAAGAATCGAATTCTCGTTTTTAATTTTAGTTAAACTGATTGTAATATCTACATAAATATGTTATAAATTGAATAAGTTGTTGGGTACTTAGATTGTTGACATTAATAAACTCTTTTAATCCATTTAGGTGAACGCAAAGATACTAGTCTATAATTTAGGTGTTGTTTATCTATAATAGTTGTTCTCCAATTAATTTAAAATAGATTAATTTAGTTTCATGATTCTAATGTTAAAATATTTCATCAAAATATTACATATGACTTTATAATTAAGGATTCTATAATATTTGATTAAATAGATGACCAACAACTCTATTATTCTTTTACTTTACTAAATTTATAATTTATAGATTTCTTATTTTAATTATTTCAATATCAAAATTGATGATATCAACAAACTCTGTTGCTTAAATCAAATAAACAAAAATCAAATAATAATTGATATCATTAAACTCCTTGATCTAATCAATCCATCTAGTAACATTAGATTGTAAAAATTAAGAATATTACTATTATTGATATTTCTATTTTAAACATTATGAATAAACTTAACAAAATGGTACCTCCTAAAATTGTTCAATATCACTTAACTCTTGTAATTGTTTGTAATTTTCTAAAAAACATTATTAAAATAATGAAAAAATATCCATGAAATTCTAATATTCGATTTCATCTAAATAGGCAAAATATAGAGCATTTCCTAATAACATTTAATAAATAAAAGGCAGTATCTTTTGTTTTTCTTTGAAATTTAGAGAGATATTCAATTTTAAAAGTTTTTATAAATTAATGAATGCCTTTACGTATTTTTAAGGCAAATGTTGCTAATCATTATTAAGCATTAAATTCTTTACAAAGATTGTGACATTTCCTCCAACCTAATAAAATACTTCGAATATGACTGATTTAACAATTAAATTGATCTCTGTTAATTTTTCATACTCATAAAGTAGATTATCCATACAGTCTATGATTGATTCTATAGTTATTTATTATTAAGTTGAACTAGAGCTTAATAGACTAGGTGACAATTCACTCAACATGTTATCAGTTTATGAATAGTATTCTTTGATAACAGTGCAGATGAGCAAATAAGTTGAAAAGAATGGGGAGTCTCTCTCTTAAGCGAAAAAGCTTTCATATTCTTATGGATTCTCACTTTTTGTTTTGGATAACGAAATGAACCTCGATTCTAATATAGTTTGATTTTATAGAGATGATTTGAGTTTATCTCTTACTGAATCTGAAATATCATCACTACATATTTATTCCCATTAGATGTGAAGTAATTTCAGAAATGAATTAAATGATTTCATTTATAATAAATTAATAATCAATCAAACTCAAAGGGTCCGCTAATTCCTATAACACCACAAGCCAAACGAGCCCCTGCATTACCAGTGCTCTTGCTATCTGGATGATCACTTTTTCCAAGATCATCCTCATTTGCATGTACTACCATAGATCTTCCAATCACACTAAATTCACCACTTAATTTCACAAAATCATCATTTATTTTAAAATGAGCAACTCCATTCTCTGAATGAACATTTCCCAAATCACCAACATGTCTTTCTTAATCTTTTGGGCCGCCATGTAATTTTCCATGAGGATTATAATGAGGTCCAGCAGTTATACATCCTTTTATTAAATTTCCGAATTCATGAATATGAAATCCATGTAGTCCATCTGATAATCCTGTAATCTTAGCTTAAATTGTTGTAGATTGTCCATCTGAAATCATTTTTACAATTCCACTAACTCCACTTCCATTATCAGGTTATAATATTGCTACTGCATATATTAGATTATTTATTGTGTATTCTTCTTTATGATTATGGTGCTCATGTTAGCATCCTTCATGAGCAACAATTTGGTTGAGGATCAATGCAAATATTAAATACATAAATCAAATAAATTAATATCTAATATCAGAAGCATATTGCAATATTTAAGCAGTATGATTATATATAACACTCATTGAAACATTATAAATATTGCCAGAACTCCTACAATTACAAAAATTAGAACAAACCTTTAAAAGATCGATTTCTACTCTGAAATCCTAGTTGTCTTGAGTTCTAAAGATTACTTTTTACTCATGTCGTTTTTTTAAGATAAATTAACTAAATATAGATTGTTATTATATACTTATGGAGATACGCTTCTTAATCAGAGATTCAGGATGATAAGTTTAACATAAAATTTTTTTCTTATTTAAAATTATTTCATCCTGTTCTTAATCCTTTTTACTTTGCTCAGTGTCATTAGTTGATGAGTATAATTCAATTATGCTCTCTCCTTGTCTCATTAGTTTTCTCAAAACTGAAGAACTAGAACTGAGAAGTGATGATTTAATGCTTACTTTCCTTTTAGAATTATTCACATCTTGTAATTATAATTACAAAAAACAATTTTGCAATTTCTTCTTTATTACTGAATTGAGAAGGCAGATACTATTTAATTTTCTCTCAAGTAATTCAAATTCTCCAACTACAACTTTCCTATTATTAAATGGAAAGTTTTCTCCCAATTAAATTTATTTGATTGATTATTATAATTTATTTGATTTAATCAATTTTATGAAAAATCTTATTTGATGTTACAAAACTATCTTATTAATAACTGTTGTAATTTAAGTCGAGCTTGCAAATTTGATTGCCATATTTTCTGAATTTGTTATAGATTTTTTGCTATAATAGTAATTAAGGTCAACTAAAAGACTCTTATCTTTTTTAGAGTATTAAAAAAGTTTTAAAATAAATACAAGTTTACTTTGGTAAATTTAATTATCAATTCTATTCAACACTTTACTGAGCTTCCTCTTTATTACAAGTTGGTGACTTACTTTAAATAAAAATTCCTTTTTAATTTAAACAGTATTTATTATTAATTTAGAGATTGCTTGAAAATATTATAATCGCCTATGGCATAAAAATTCATTATTTTGTGCATTCTTGGCTCTTTTATAATTTGATAAATTTTGAAATAAAATTAGTGTATATTTTTAAATTTTTGTTGATCTATGTTTTGATATTAGGTTGAAGATTGAATTAATTGCTAGTACAATTTTAATCTGTGAATATTTAATAGTAATTTTAGGACATTGATTCATTAGTTGTATTGTTTTGTATACTTATGCTATTTATGTTTTTTAATCCTAAAGGACTAAATTAGATATTACATTAGATTTTACAGGATTGTTGAAAGGAGTCGCTACAGTTGTATCATCGGGTTCTGTCTTTGATCTCTTTTGGGGAGTGAATGCAGAGTATATCATGTTAATTAAAAATATAATAATCAAATAAAACTGTGGCATTAAGCACTTTTTTTTCTGGAAGCAATAGAGGAAGTTCTATATAATAATTGTTAGTTACATTTTTCTACTATGAGATTTTCCGGTATGAATTCTGACAGGTTGAGTGAATTAAGAAAAAATTTCATCAGATTCAGTTTATCTTGTAGGGACAGTATTTCGACTAAACATGCAACTCATGGTTTTACGCATTCTGGCTTTTAATTATTTACTCAAAGGATTCCATGCTCTTTGAACAATAGGTATTGTTGTGGTAGAAGAGGTAGCAAAATTGGGTGAAAGTAGATTTGGTTCTGAAGAAGTAATTTAAAGTACAGGTTCAATATTATCAAATTTTTTTAATCTTTTGGATTTTGTACTGGCTGCACTTTGAACTCTATTAATTAAAATTTGGTTGTCATCAAGGGAAGTAGTTTTGATTCTTATTTTCTTTTCAGCATTAGTTTAGATTTTTCTGGAAACTCTGTCTCTGATTTGATCAATCATTTCTTTATCAAGCATAAGGAATTTAGTTTTTGGGTCATTAGGCAATTTTTTAAGATGATAGATCATATTCTAATGGGCAATTTCAGATTGCAATAAGACTCTTGGTTTTTGAGATCGCACATCATTTTTATCTGGTCTTTCTTCTGGATTTTTGAAGATTTCTTGGATTGTTTTTCTTTCTGTAATTTAAAATTGTTGAGGTTGAGAACTTTAATCCTTGTCATGTTGTTATAAGATAGAAATGATTTTGGCTTGTCTATTAGTCATATATTCTTAGATTAGATTGCTTTTATCTTTTAATAATTTAACGATATCTGGAAAGTTCTTTTTTAAATTATTGAATTCTGCTGCTTCCATATAATAGGCAACAGTGTTATCCAATACTTGACATGAATACAATCTTTGAGGCAAAGAATCAATGATTTCTTCCTAGCCCACAAAGGCATTGTCTGATAATTAACTTAGGACAATTTTCTTTTTCTTTTTTGTAGTAGATTAATTAGTGACATCATCTTAAATATGTCTAAAGAGTTCTACTCTTCCCTTTTGAATCAGAAAGTAAAACTTAGGTTCTTCACCTTCTTTCCATAACATAGTTTAGGATGCAAAATTGATTGTTCTTAAATTTTATGTGAATTTAGAAACAGTGAATTTGGAAGCTCCATTGAATAATTTCATAAAGTATTCAATTTTCACATTTTATTCTTGTATCTATTTCTCATAGACCAATTTGTAATCATGTTTATTCATAGAAATCAAGTGTGCTTCTTCAGATACCACAATCACACTAGCAGATCTTGGTTGATCAAGAATTAATGCTTAATCACCAAAACATTAACCAGAATAGTACTGCCACACCTTCTTGAACAATGGGATGCCACTATTATGATACATGGGATTTTCATTCAACATTCTAAGAGCCAGATCATATCTATTGAATGAAGGTAGTTGGATAGTTTTCTTTTTTTTCAATTGACCACCTCCAATGTTTGTTTCACTACCTTATTGTGTGATGAAATCCAATTCTTATTCAACATCCTCAGCTGATCTTTTAATATAGACACCCACTTCACCATGTAACAGAATGTAGAATCTATCTCCATACTCCCCTTAATTCATTATTGGCTAACCAAAATTATAGTGTTCATATTTAAAAAACTAAGCAGCATACATAGCAAACTCTCTGACCTTCATATTCTTATCACATTGTTTCTACATAAATTCTATTGTGGAGAGAGAATCAGCCACTTATTCAGCCTAGGCTGCTGTGTGCAATTGAGTATACATCTTATAAACTTAGATTGCAGGTTGCAGGATAATTTCATTCTGTCTTCTGATAGTATCATGATCTGGTTATTATTCTTATATTAATGATCTTTTATTTTTCATTTTAATTTCTTATTTATATAAATGTGAATATTTTTCATTCGATCCAAACTGTCTTAATATTGGAGAAGTTCTAGACCCCCCATTCACCACATTCTCTACCATATCCAGATCCTTTGATACCTCCAGATGGTAATCTTTAATCTGATTTGACTATTTCATTCACAAACACCATTCCTGCTTCTAGATGATTCACAAATTACTCAATCTCCTTCTTGTCATTACTAACAACTACTGCTCCTAATCCATAAGATGTGTTATTCGCAATTCTCAATATCTCATCATTACTATTGGCTTTGATAAGACTAAATAATGGTCCAAAGGTCTCCTCTTTTGCCAATACATTTTATTCATCCACCTCTACTACTGTTGGCAACATAAAATTTTCATTCTCCTTTAATCTCTTCCCACCATAAACTATCTTTGCTCCTCCATCCACGCCCTTCTTTATCTAATTCAAAATATTTGTTATTAAATCCTCTCTAGCCATTGGTCCTAATTCGGTTGTCTCTAATAAAGGATCACCAATTTTCAATTTCTCCAATGCATTTACTAATTTCTCCTTAAAAATATCGTAATATTGAAAATGAACTATGAATCTTTTTGCTGAAAAGCATACTTATCCACAATTTGCAACTCTTGATTTAAGTGCCAATTGAACTGCCAATTCAACATTTGCATTTTATAATATACAAAATGGATCAGACCCTCCCAATTCCAATACACTTCTCTTCAGATATTTACCAGCAGTAGCTCCTATTATTGAACCTGCAGCTGTGGAACCTGTAAATGATACACCCTATATCTAAGGATGTGCCATCACTTAATCAAGTTATTAAGCAGTTGTAAATGCATTCTAAAAAATGTTGCCATCGAATCCTGCTGATGTAAATAGTTCCTATAGAGCTAATCCACATAGACCTGTAGAATCAGATGGTCTATGAATCACTGCATTACCAACTGCTAACATTGGAATTATTGGCTTAAAACCTAAAACTAAATTCTTTTGATACATAACCAAAATGGAAAATTAAAAGGTGATATTGAGTAGATGGTACCTATAGGAGAATATTGTACATAACTATTTTTGGCTTCTGTCTTCACTCTCTGAGGTTGTAAATATTTATTTATATTCTCAGCATAATATTTACAATAATTTTAAGATTTCTTGACCTCAGCCATTGATTAGGATATAGGTTTCCCTATTTCATAAGATATCAATTTAGCATATTTTTCTTAATTCTAATTCAATAAATCTGCCAACCTACTTAATATATCATTTCTACTTCAATAGCTTCTCTGATTTTATTTAAAATGAACTATTCTTATTGATTTGATATCCCTCCTTTGATTATTGTATCACATGATTTAATTCTTAATCATTTAGAAACTTGAATTCCCCTAGTACCTATTTTGTAGCTGGATTTTTTGATATAAATTATCTCATTATTGATTGTAAATATTTGATATTATTTATAAATATAGAAACATCATCATAGATCCAAATTATTGAAATTAATTAATACTTAGCTGTCAATTATTGAACACATTATCTCTTTATGTATTATAAGTATTCATTTAAATCCCTAAATAAGCTATAATTATAACCCATACCTCAAAATTAAGCAACTATCCAAATAGAAACAGATAATACAAGTTTTAATAAATAGATGATATTCAACTATAGACATAATAAATTCACCTTCACATTCGATCCTAATAATAGTTTAACAGAGGTATCTTAAACTGAAAGACAATTAATGTATTTAATAAACACCATTACTAAGATGATTAGTGAAGTATTATATCAGAAAAAGTATTAATACTGATTAATTAATTTATAAAGTATATATTATGAAAATCATTAGATTTCTCTTGATCTAATTCAGTTCAAAAAGTATCTAACCATTTCTCATTCAGATTTGTAAGCTACATAACTTGATATTAATAAATGCGACAGCGTTTATTGAATATTAATGTGAAGAGAAATCAGACTGATTATCATCTAATGAATATTGAATAATGATTTTTTACTAGAGATTTAGTATTAGATTTAATAATTAAATAATATGCTTTCAATCATATTCTAAATGATTATAATTATAAAAACATGTATTGAAATTTGATTAATTAAACATGGAATTCTATTAATAATAATAATAAAAATGAGTATTTATTTCGATGGGTCAAATGTTGGAATACAAATAGCTCCGATAGAATATCAATCAAATTATACAGTGTCAAATATGTATGATTACTTGGCGCAATACTAATTAGACAGGTAACAATACAGTTTAACGTTGGATGGATAAACAATGTTAAACCCATAAGATAGTTCATACATTTCATAATTTTTTTAACCAAATGCAGCTCTTTATGTTGTTTAAGCATAGCCAACATTTAATGTGTATTTTGAAGGATAGTAAATATTGACAAATCAACTACCAAACATGGCTATACTTGATGTATTTCACTGATAATATATAATAGTTGTTAACATATTTATAATAATAAGGTGTTAATCTAGGGTAAAATGTGTAAGTTGACTTTTATGATTAAAGTTCCACTCCACTATTTATGAATGCTGATATTAATGAGGGTTTGTATAATTATACAAATGGTAATCAAATAGTAATCATAAATATCACACCTTTATAATAATAAGAGATTCCAAAATAGATGGGATCAAATACTAAAGTGGATTCATTTAAATAATAAAAGTAATAATTATAAATAAATATTAGTATTGGAGCAAATGAACTACTCTAATCCTTGATTTTACTCAAAAATGTAAGTTTATTGATTGATCCAAATGGTTAATTTGTTGTATACAAATTTCACTTCCCAACTTTGATCTAAGGATACTTACAAAGAAGTTAAGGAAAAGATGCAGCTAATATTACACACTTTAGTGTGGTGCATGCTGATTGGATAGAAAAGAATAACATAAAATATTGCTCATTTGATGATTACGGATTTGCTATTACATGGGAAGATGGAAATGTTAGTTCCGTGAAAATTAAGCAATAGTGAAAATCATATAAATCAAAAATAATTATACATTTTTTATCAAATTATAATCTACCTTATTTTAACTATCCGAAAGATGTTTCTCATCACTAATAAAATTTATCAATATATCAATTAATAGCAAACAGGGTTTGAAATAGAAATTTATTTTCATCAAGTTAAAGTTTTAGTATTCTAGAAATGATATGGCTTTTGATATAAAATTAAAATGAAATTATATTAGAAGTATTCAAATATTAACAATTAACATTTTTAGTAAGTCTTTGATCAAAAAATGCTTGCAATAGAATATATATCTATATAATTTTATAATGATAAATCTTAATCTGATTAATAATCATTATCAACTGACCCCTTTCAGTTTTTTTATTATTTCTTATCTGTAACTAAAATATTCAATCGGCACATAAAGATATTGATTTTTTCCAAAAACCTAATTTATTACATAATTCTCGAATAAAACCTTTTAATCAAACGAAATATTTGAGCAAATGTACGAATAATATCATATTTACATGAGAATTTACTTGAACATCATTAATTTGCATTCAAAGTGAAATTGTCATCTATATTTTAGCTAATTATAAAAATAAAAAAACATTAATATATGGATCATTTTTCAAATATTTCGCTAGAATTATTTAAATTAGCAGGATCATGAGAAAATTTTGCTTCCCCAACAACAATCAACTCTTTGTGATTTATAATTTGTGCTCTTGTATTTTCCTTTTTAATATATGTCAAATGATTACATTTTGCTTTTATTGTTCCATTCTTAAATCTTTAATATAACGATCTACAATTGACTTATAATCTTCCTCAAGTATCTAAAATCTTAAATCTATTTTCTTTTCTCTGTCCTCTTTCTTTTCTTCCTCTTTTTTATTTTCGTCTTCTTACTTTTCATCATCATTTTTCTTTACGTGGCCTTCTTTTTTAGTATTTTCTGACTATATAGATTTATTATATTTGCCATTTAATATTGCTCCTAGGACAATTAATGAATCTATCAAATAAAGTGTCAAATTGTAAAATATTATGATGGAAAATATATAACCTTAAAAATTCATGGAGGTTTCAACAATATAAAATCTTATAAATATCAATATATATTTACATTATTAAAAAAAAAATGTTTAAGCACAAATATTAGGATAATTTCTAAACTTATTCCAGATATTCTTTAGGTTTTATTTAAATCCTTAAAAGATGATACATTTCGGAATAAACAGTTGTGATAAGCAAATTTAAAAAGATAAAAATTGGCACTAACAATGATACCCTATTAATTAATAATAATGATATACCAACATTAATCTGTCTTAATCCCAAAGTTTCTAATTATAAAAAAGGCAATAAAAATTAAAATTCCAAAAATAGTGACAAAATGTTATTCATCTTGAACATCATATACTAGATTTCTCCCGTATGTGTAAATTAGGTTGCCTATTACAGCTGCTGAGCACAAGATTTCTGCAAAAAAAGTATATTTGAATAGCTTTTCATAAAAGTTATCAACCTTTTTTTCTGAAATGCTTTAGATTGACAGTTTATACATCCTTACTTATTTAGAATTTTATTCATCATTACCATCATTCATCAATCCTTCATTGATATTGTTATCAGTTGAAGAGTGTTACACATGAGAACTTTATGCATCTCTCATCCATTCTTCAAATTCTTGGGTTGGTAATTCTTTATATAAATTTTCAAATTTATAATTTTTCTATTCAATTTCAAAGTTAATTTCTTTTTTGGAATTCATTTGATTTTTGTCTAGTTTCTTAATTTTTGACTTAAAAAGAATTTATAATTCATTTTTAGTGAATAACAAGATTAAATCTCTAACTTTTTTTTTCACAATGGTTACGCCAATTTAGTATTATTAAACTAGTAACACAAAAAATAATAATAGGATAAATAGGAAAAATGGACAAACTATTGCAATTATAATTTTTAAGTATGATCTGGAACTATTTGAATAAAAATATAATTGATATGGTGAGAAGGTGTACAAAAATAAAATTTGTGCTAATTTTATTTTAGATTCAAATTTTCTTAAATCTAATAAGATTGCATACATAAGACTATGCTTATTTAATGCAAAATCATTACATTAAGTAATGTTATACATCAGATTTGATAAATCCAAAAACATTTAAGCTTAATTATCTTGAATGATTTTCTTCTCACCTAAATTACTAGCAGCAGAAAAAAAATATTTTTTTTCACTCTTTTTAAACATATTAAAAGGTAATACTGAATTTAAATGTAAATTTAGATTTCCTTTCTAATTTTCACTTTCTAATTCTTTAATATAGCTATCAACATCGTTATAGAGCTCGTTCCATTTATAATAAGCGAAGAAAGGATCATGAAATCTCTTAAGCTCTGCTAAAGAATCTATTTAAAATTAGTAATTCAAATAGTTCATATATCCAACAAAAGAATAATTAAGAGTTAAAATTTTATTTTCATTTTGTACATGAATTAAATTATAATAGCCAGTTGCCCCACAATATTTAGGTGACATAATCATTTCATCCATATATATAAATTTTTCTTTACCTATTTGAATACTCAAATAACCAACATAAAAATATTGAGATTGAAAATGCTTAAAGATTCCTCTATAAATCCAATTTAATAGCCTAATAGTACTTTATTCTTCATTGATTACTAAAAATATGCACTTGTTATATTCATAAGTATAGCATATATTACCTTAATAATAAATACAATACTTACATTCATTTTCTTTTACATTTATTTTTGATACAAGGTCTGGATCGAAATTTTTACAGTTTTCTTTACCATTAATTAAAATTACAATATTAATCTTCCTTTTTGACTCTTTTGGGAAAATATCCTTGAATGTTGCAATTTGAGAATTAATTTCTGATATTTCTTAATTATCATAAAGTAAACAAAATGTGACACTATTATCATCAATCTATTCAAATTGAAAGATTTGTTTGTTAATTTATTATCTTAAAATAATCTCAGTCTATTATGGATATGGATTATTTTGAATCTAGTTGATTAGACTATTAACGATGTCATCCACATTAAATTATTATTTTATAAAATCATCCATATCAGATAATTACCCTTCATCTTTTCCTTATTCTTATCCAGCTTTTTGTTATTACGATTGAGATGTTTATTCTTAATTCTACCTCTCTTTGAGCTTAACAATAAAATAGTTATAAAGTTTAATATGTTTATCTAGGTAGTCCTTACCTTTTGTGCTAATGTTGTCATAAATTAATCCATCACCTTAGTTGATAGGCCTATAAATTATATTTGGATTAGATTCGCTAGTCTATTCATAAACTTCAAATCCCTATGTGAGCATTAATTTTTACAGATGCGTCACTCGTATTAAAATAAAGAGTATGCTAAACTTTTGGAGACTCGCTAGCCTGGTTTGAAACATTCATTTATTAAATAAAATATCTAAATTTAATTAATGTCAAATTATATATATATTGATTACAATATACTAAGTAGAATATTTTTAGAAATAAAAAAATGATTTTTACATATTTGGAAGTGAGATAAAATGGTGAACACCTTTCAATTGTTTTGAAAAATTGAGCTTAAATTAGCTTATAACATTAGATGAAAATCTATGTTATTCTGCGTTAAATGCACTTAAAAAGTTCGGTGAACTTGAAATTAAATTTCTTTTTTGTATCTATTCAATCTTTTGATTTAGAATATAATGTAATTTCCTAATAGCTCGCAATAAGTTTATTATTAATCCAATAGGTTTAGTATACATAATGTATTGTAGTTGATTTATAATCAACATTAATCTAAATGATATCTACTAAAATAGCCTTCCTTGAATCTATCATGAGTTCTGAATAACTAGGCTTCGAATTCATTGAGAGAAAATCAAATTTTAAATAATATAATATAAGAAAATATTCAATTTAGGCTAAACTAAACCAAAAATAAAAATAGAATACCATAATTTCTTCTTTAAATAATTGCTTGAAAATTCATGAAAGTGAATAGACATTTATGATGATATCAAAATTTATTAGATATCGATTCACTGAAATCACAGTAAAGAAAATTTCAGAATTAATTATATTTAATTAACTTTAATAAGATAATCTTCATTGAATTGTGAATAACCTGATAGAAAAGTCATTGAAGTTGTAGAGAAACGAAATTACAGAGTATTAAATATCAAAAATATTAAATATAAAATTAATTAATTAATATAAATTTCATTTAAAGAGGAAGGAACATTTTTCCATCTCATCTAATTATTATTAGATTTACACTTTTATCGATTTAGTTCTGCCTCTTTCAAGTTGGCTGGTTTTCTGATTCCTCTCAAATTACAATTAAAATATTTAATTGATTCTTTTTTATTCAATTTCTTATAATTTTTTACTCATTTCTAATTTAATTAATTATTCTTAATCATTAAATTTATTAATTAGCACTTCTTCTTAATGAGCATGTTTTTATTTAAGTACTCTTTATTGTGTTTCTTGAGTTTACCTCTATTCGGATTGGGTTCTTCTCATATGATCTTAACTTGCTTCTTTTAGATATACCTGATAAAGTTCTGCTTTTTTGAATTCCTTTTGATTGGATAAATATGTTATAATTTTTTATAGATTTTGATATTCAGCATTTTGTTATCTTTTATTAAAGATAGATTTTTATAATTATACCTTTTATTAATGCCATAATTATTAAAGTGCTTGACTTTTCTAATAATTGAACTTTTCAAATAGCTGATTAAAGTATTAATTAACTTCTTCTATTTATTACTTGGTTTATGAGAGAATTCTTTCTTCTCCTAATTTGAATTAATCCTAAATTTCTTCTCTTTCAATAAGATCTCGTATAGTTTTCATTTGAAGTATTTTAGATTTAACTTCATCAGCCTCTTTGAAATCATGATTGACTTAACAATTAACCATATGCTATTATGTCAGTTTTATTATTTCATCCATTTGTGTTAAAGTCAACATTTATGAATATAATTTATTAATAATTTCATTGATAATATAATGATAATCAATCTGGATATTCAACATCACCAAATTCTGATGGTAATTGATAAGTACCAGGTCCAGGAACTAAAATAATGAAATTGAATTCGTTTACAAACTTTATTTCGAATTTAAATAGTTTTTCTTTCTGATGCTCCAAAACTGAATCCAGAACTACTTTTCAATCTGAAATCAGCAATATCTCCAGGAGGATCATAGGTTCCTGGCCCAGGAGTTTTAATTATTCTGAAAGACTTGTTAGATGTAGGAGAAAACAAAGGAGCTCTATTACTAGAGTATTTAGAATTGAAGTAATTTCCAATTTTGCTGATACCACCAACATTATAAGCACAGGGAGATGGAGTTGTCGATTCCAAATAAATATCTAAATTGTTAGTGATGTCTTTACGTTTTGCTTTGGTTCTTTCTCCAAATGAAAATTTGATGTTGGAGAAAGTATCTTTCAAATTGTAGGTATTAGGTGCTGGATTTTTATTTGGATTACCATATATTCCTACAGCTTTGGTTTCTGCTCTGCCATACCCAAATTTTGTGACTGGTTTTGGTTTTGATTTAATTGTATAAGCAGTAGGAGGAGGGATATACTTATCTGTTAATTTGGCAAAGTCGAATTTTATACCAAATCCGAAACTGCAAGTTCTTTAACCAAGAGCTGTTCTTATCCTAAAATTGTACAAAGATTGAAATACTAGGAGTCATAAAATTATTGTTGACAATAACTGGAACGAGGTTTCGAGAATCTTGTGGCTTTAGCAAATGAATATTGTTATTTAGATGGGGAATGATTAATAACATCATGAATAACCTTTTTATTAAATTGATCAGCTGTTCTCAAGAGTATCATAGATCCTGTATTTCTTGATCGTCCATATAAGGTTTCTGCAGCGCTAAATGTTCTTTCTGAGGCTGTCCGCGCTCTTCCCTTCTTCTTGCTGCTCTCTTGAGGACTACTCAATTCAATATTATTCCCTGATTATGTCTCCTACTCCTATAATTTATATTGACTGTCCAACTATTTCTCAGACATCTTTATTTTATTATTAGAATAAATTTAATCAAATTTCTATATTAGATAACGTTCCTGCCAATAACTCTGCATAACTCTACAATTGACTTGTCAAAGGTTCCTCTATTCCAAAAAAATTTTCGCTGACCTCTAATAAGTGTTCCCTTTCAATGTAAATCAACAACTTGTTTTTTAAACAAGTCTAACTTCATAAAAATATTATACCTCAACTATTCCTATTACCTTATCCTTGTTATTTAATAAAGGTTTAATAAAAATGGGTAAAATAGATGTCACATCAACCTTTGAATAAAATTTTACTGATCTCTTGATATCATTTACGACTCTACTTATTCTTCACTCTCATTCCTACCAATCCATATTCTAATGAAAAGATCTCTTCCTTCTGATTCATTCTTCACAAAGTAAAATTTTATCATCTATAATCCAAGTATCCTCTTAAAACTTAATTTGATCCTGTCACTTGCTATTTATTTACTTTTGGTTCTTAAAGTATATATTAACTGATTAATCATCAGACTTCCATACTTTTAAGCTATTTACCAACTTTCCTTATGAACCAACCTTTAAATTATTATTCCTAAAAATCTGCATATAATTATTCCAAAACATTCTTCATCAGACGAAAATTATTCCTGTTCTGAATTCAAAATTATCAAACTACATCTTACTCTATTCTAACCTATACAAAATATTGGCAATATTAATGCATTTTTTCCGTATTCAGGTTCTTCACTCTTCTTTATTCGATATATTATTGGCTTTTTTGGCTTCTAACTTATGTTTTGGGGTTTAATACATCTTGAAGGTATCTGCTACTCTTGATTTCTGTATTTTTATTTTATTATTATCACCAAAATAAACCCTACTAATCCTTTATCCTATAATGCCATTATTTATTATTTAGTCTTTAAATAAGAATACAATAACCCATTTTTAGAATCCAACAACTGTAATTTAGCTGTCTCACATTTAAATACTCAAGGTAACTGTCTATTTACATAAAAAATTAGATCTTCTATTGTTTAGGAATTGCTGAACTCTTACATTTTTAATAACAGCTAATTTAACCTCTCAGAAAAATCTTCGAAGAACAGCAATTGATTGCTATAATAAGTGATTTGCTGTTTTAGACTTCCTAAGATTATTAAGATATTTATTAAAGGGTATTTAAAACACCTTTCTCACATAGATCATTAATAAAGTTTGAGGATCAAATTTCGAACACACAATTCTAAAATCCAAATTTTTTGGTATTATCAATACATTCTCAAATTCTACAAATTTATCTGATAGAATTTACAGCATTCATACAAATTAAATTGAGTAATGATCTATTGAGAATGAATTAAAAGTAACTATTACAAAATTGAATGATTAAAAATATGAATAAATTTGAATTTATTTTATTTTATTATTCAATGACAATTCATTATCATCCTTCTTAATAAACCCTCTAATTTCATCATCTTTATTATTTTTCCTCAATTTATCAATTATTTTTTATAACAGACTTACTACTATTTGATTTTAATTTAATTTCCCTTGAATGCTGTCAACCTTCTAATTCTTTCTTTCCAATTCTCTTTTCAATTATTCATTTTCCTTCATTAAAATAGTTAAATTTGATCTCATTTAAAAAATATTGATACAGTTTTGAGATAAAATAGATTGATTTATTATCTTACATTTTATTTAATTTATTTTATATTCTTTTAAACAATATATTCAATTCTCTTTTCTAATGCACTTGGTATTTTGACTTTAATTTCGTTTAGATCTTTACTTTTTTTAAGTACTTTTAATATTTTTTAATCTTCCTCTATCAATTTATTACTTCTAGATGAATTGATCTCCACTTCTTATTGTATTGACTTATTCCGATAAAATAATTTAGCCTTTTTCAATGCCTACTTATTGAACACTAGAAAATAAAAAATGGTGTAATTGAAGCTTTCTTTTACTTTCTGTTTAAACAGCCTAAATAGATTTCAATTTTAGATGTATTTTAAATAGTGTTGACAATTGAAAGTAAGATTTATTCAATTTTTTAGATAGTAGGTAGACTGTTTACTTCATTTTGTGTGATGTAATAAACTTAAATAAGGAATTCTAAACTAGTGCATCTAGATATCAATCTATTTTGAAAATCTATTAGTTTACTTAGACTTCGAAATTTTCATTACCCTCTATCAATAATCTTTTCTCTTTGCTGTAGACACTCAAATTTATGTGGTAATATCAATGTTTATTATGATCGCTTATTGGTCGAGGAGTACTCATTTAAGTAGTTCTTTAATGATCATTAGATTAAGGTTATTTGGACAGTAGGGGCACTAATTAATAATGTTTCTTTTTTATTATATTTATAAATAAATTATTAATCTTAGTATATGTTTTTTTTTATTTTATGGAACTTTATTTCTATTTGTTAAAACTCAAAATCTTATACGAATTTACAAATAGTAAAGTATTATTATGCTTTATTCGAATTCCCTAAAATAATATTTAGAAATGTTAATTAGAAAATAATGGTATTTAAAATTCATCTTTTAACAGGATCCTGAGATTTCTTCTTGACAAAAGTTGTTTATCATCACAAGTTATATAAACCATTCAATTTATTATTTACTTGAATATCTATCAAAAATCTACAATAAAATTTGAATTATTCAAATTTACACATCCTGTTTTTTTAATTAATTGTAAACCCATTTACTTGAGCAATCTACACGATAATTCTATTTAAAGTTGATTAAGTAAAATTCTAAAAAATCGATTTCTTATTAAACTATTGTAAAAATGATTGTAATACCTAGTTTATGAAAAACAGATAACGTTATATTTGAATTTTGCATATTATTGATATTCAACAGCTTACTATTGTTATTTCTTAAAAATTCTTCAGTTTCAATTTATTAACTATCTATGTATAAATTTTTTTATATTTATATTTCTCAACTACTACTCCTAATTTAGTAGTTTTTTTGTTCTTCCTCCTATTTAATTCTTTAATTATTCCCATATAAATTGAGTCTCTAATATTTTAATCTATTCAAAGAAACAAAACCACATAAAAAAAAATGATTTCTTACAATATTACCTATCTAAACTCCAACGTAATTATATATTCATATTAGCAAAGGAATCACGCTATTTTTATTATTTTCTTTTCTCAGAAATTCGATAGATTAATATCTAATAGGAGGCATCATTTACTACCTTTTAAATTTTTTATTCATTTTTCTAACTCAATCCTACCAGAGAAGTGAAGTCTTCGTAAGTAAATTAGATTCAAGCAAGGCAAAAAATAGTAAAACAATAAATGATCTTAATATCTCCAAAATCTAGTTTTAACTTAAAATTTTAGTTTATAATATAATATTTTTAGCTCAATTTTGATATTCTTTTTTTAGCTGTTTTGATTATATGAAACTTTAATGATCAAACTATTATTTTAGAGAAGGAAAATATTTTTGATGGAAAAACAATTTATGATATTTTGAAAACAACTAAATGAACATCATTATTAGAGTGAAGTTGTGAAGTTGTAGTAGATTAGATATATTATATGAGCAATTTTTTTGAAAAAAGAAATATAATGGGGATTTTTAATACGCTAATTTTGTTTTAAAAATAATAAGCGTATTATAAATCAGAAAATTGAGAAAGTTAAATTGCTAAACAAAAAATTTGAATATTTATATAAAGCTTACATTAATTAAATTTTTCAATAAATATTATCCATGATTATTAAATATGATCTAATTTATATTTAATATGATTCAACCCTCTATAAATATTCAACTATATTATAAATTATATTCTTTAGTTATTAATATTAAAGATGGCAAATTAAAGAAATCAAAAGGTCTTAAGTTTGTTTATGGATATCAATGTGTATTTTACAAAAACAAGTGCAATTGAACATTATAAATGGTTGAAAGATCAAGAAATGAAAATTCAACATTATACTACATTTAACAATAAGTATTTAGAAATGAATTTTATATAATAATTATGATAAATTTATCATATGAAAGTGATCATAAGATGGGAATCCAAAGAATATCAAGTTCATAAATGCCTAAATCTTTACAATCTCCATCGGATCTAAAACCTCCAACTATTAATTCATCTCTTTTGAGTAATATAAATCCATTCTCTGATGTTGTAAAATGATATCTCATAGTTAGAGCATTCCTAGATAAAACGATCCATAAGGATCAAGTCATAAAAATATTGGAGATCCTCATGAAGTTAGACTTGTCGATGAAACTGAAACTAAAAGAATGAGAAAGAGTAATTTTAATAGGTTTAAGAAGTTTGTATTCTCATAACCTAATTCAGATAAAGAAATATTAGATAAAAAAATCATTTCTAAATTTATTAGTGTTCTCAAATAAAAGGCATATATTTATCATGACTGCTTTTTTAACTCATTATAAAAAGAAATTTTAACTGAAAAATATATGACATTGCCAAATAATACATTTACTAATAATGGAAACAAAAATCAAATAATATTGGATTTTTCATTTTATTTCATTTGGGATTTGCTCAATTTATTCTAAATCATAATTTTGTTATTTTGGATAATCTTTAAAATTGCATTTAATTCCACAAATCAATATTTAACACAAGTCATTTTCATATTATTTATTGTACTTGATATATTTATTTGCTTAATATCCCCATACCTATAAAAAGGATACATGATTCTTAATAAAATCGATGTTATTCGTAATTCAATCCCTTGTACGATAATTATAAATTTAATATATTCAGTTTCAACGACAATATTATTATTATAGGATAATAATGATGAAATTTTGCTCATTTTATATGCCTTTTAATTGATTTCATCATTTGCTAAACTAAATAAAATTTAGAATAAATTATCAGATTTTACTTCCTTAAATTTTGAACTTCTTGTTAATATAGGTTAATTAGTGTTTTTACTACATTTAAGTTCATGTATTTGGCATATTATAGGAATAAATGATGAAAATTCATGGATCTATAAAAATAATTTAGATGAATCAGATAAAATTACGAGATATTGTCATGCGTTCTTTTATTCGATATCTTTATTATTTAATGTAGGTTCAAGTAATATAATTATTACAACAAATACAGAATTGATTTTCTCGAGTGTTTTAATTTTTCTCTCTATTTGGATTTGCTGTCTAATATTGTTATAATTAAATTAATATTTAAAGCACTTTTATGAATAATAACTTGATATATTGTATTTTTTATTAATGATTATTTTAGTAAGGAAATGGAAACTATAAATGCTTTCTTAAATAGAAGAAAAGTTCCATTCTTAATAAAATGTAAAGTTAGAAATTATATTAAGTACATGTTTTAAAAATAAAAAAGAAATGATTATGAGGTATTTTATAAAATGGTAAACTTAGATAAGATTTAAAATATTCTATAATCATTAAGACCAGATCTAAAGGAAGAATTAATTTTATGAATGAGATCAAAAGCCTTGTCTTCTTGTAAACTACTATAAAAATTCTCAAAAGATTCACTTTACTAATTAACTAAATATATGGAACATATCCATTACAATCCAAATGAAATAATTTAATAGCAGGATTAATCGTTGTATTTGATTGATTCAGGAGAAATTGAAGTTTATGAATATGATAAACCATTGTTAACATTAAAATAAGGAGACTATTTTGGAGAAATTCCCTTTTTTTCTGATATTTCAAGCAAAACAATTTTTAAGGCCTTAGAATTTACTCGACTATATAAAATTAATTAATCTAATTTCTTACAAATTATCTCCTCAAATAAAGTGGATCATGAAAGATTTATCTATATCAAACATTCACTTATAAATGGAAATTTTAACGTTATTAATATAAAATGTTACTCTTGCAATTCTTCTAATCATTTAATAAACAGTTGCCCTTTGTTGAACTATAAACCAGATATTGAAAAGATGATTAAAAAAGATAATTTTCATTAATAGAATAGAACAAAATTTTTTCGGGATAAAAACGTAGATTAGAGAGATTTTAATAAGACTTTTAAAAGGATTTTCGTAAGAATTTCATTAAATTTAGATCAATTTTGATGCTTTAAAAATGTTTAGATTGAAATATGATCTTATTGATCAAGATGATTTCTATCCAAGAAGCAATGAAATAATTGAGACTGAAGATATTGAATCTGATACAGAATCAGCTGAATCTTATGAATAATATTAATCAGATTAAATACTCTCAGATAATAGGTTTATTGATAAATAAGATGGGTATAGTTTTTTAATTATCATTTAGTACAATCGTTAGTATTATAAAGTAATAAGATTAATTGAGAGACAATTCTAAAATATTATTAGAAGTTGATGATAATATTGAAGAAATGTTTATAATTAGGCCAAATAATTAAAAAACAACAATTAGTACAGCCTAATTCTAATTTGAATAGTAATAACAATAATAGTAATAATAGTAATAATAATAACAATAATCATAGTAATAATAGTAATAATAATAATAATAAGCAAATCAAGCATCATATAGATTTTCGTTAATGCCAATAGATACAAAGGTTAGAAAACAATCATCTTCGCAATTAGAATAAGTATCATCTCAAAATATAGCTACTGAAGGATAGATTCCATCAGTAAAAGGATCAAAACATAATTCCCAAATTGCTTTTAAAGGTGAATATAGTGATAAATTAAAATTTGGATCTTAAAATAAAATTGCAAGTTATATAAGTCTTGATAATAAGATAAAAAAAAACTTATCAAGAATAAAAGAAGAAGATTCTGATACATTAAATTTATCAAATCGCTATAATTCAGATGAATAACAAAGTTCATAAAACATGAGGTATTTTTATAGATAAAGTCAAAATTCATTGCCTTCAAGAAATACCTATTTGAGGCCATCTATGAAAAGAATTTCATCTAAAATATCATCTATTAATTTTATACCTGGAACAAGAACATATAATAAAACAAATACACCATTTACAAGATCTTTTGTAAACTTTCCTACCACAGGAATAGTGGATTTAAGTATGTACAAAAGAGAAGATTATAAATCTGAAGATTTTGAGATGATGTTTGTTTATACAATATATTTTCCTTTAGGAAATTATCCAAATATAATAAAGAGGTTGAATTATTATTTAAAATGCCAATTGTAAGAATTTGTTCAATCTAAATATACCTTTTAATATAAAGTAAAATAGTTAAGTTAGAAACACAGTTTATTGTAAATGAATCCAGATTTGTTAAACGTTAAGAGTTAATCTAAAACAATATTTGAATGATTAGAAATATTTTTTTATAAATAACACAAAATTACTTAGGTATCATGGTTTTTGTCTTTCTATTAATAATTCATTGTATAATTTATTAATTTCAATATATTTATTCTTCCATTTGATGGCTTCTATTTTGTTTTATGATGACTCTCTCTATAGTTTTATGATGACTTTTTGTAATTCAATAATTTAATCTTTCAAATTATCTTCTTTATCATCAAGTCTTCTCTCTGAATCCAATGCTGTACTAATAGTGTTATTTTCTTAAGTTCTACTCATTTGATTCATTAAATCTAATTTATCACATTGATATAAGTTTGATTTTAACTTTCTAATTTCCTCCTTGTAACCTTAGGCTTCAGAAGCCAAATCTTCCTATCATAGTGTATTAGCATACATATTCTTTTTCTAAATATGAAGCCTTTTGTTAACTATAACATAATTCCTCCTCTAATTGTTATATTTTTTTCATCCATTTTTATTCATACTATTTTAAATCAACAACTTAAGCCTATTATGGTACAATCGAGATTGGAACTTAAGCATAATGCCTTGGAGATTGATTTAAATTACAATTGTTGTGACTAACAAACTATCTTGGGGATAAAGGCAATTAATAATAATTTTACATCTAATTTATATTATTATACATTTATAATCTAATGCTTGTTTCAAATATGGGATTATTTATTTCTTTACAATCTCTGAGACTTCCAATTATTTAATTATTATAGTTAGAAGTGTTTTGTCATTCAAATAATTAAATACTAGATATCAAATCATCGAAATCTATATTAAATTAATTTGCTATAAAATTCTAAATCTATCCAAAATGTCAGATATCATGATAGAGAATCAAGATGATATTGTCAAATAAAATATCATAGCTGAAGGACATGACTTTGAAAATTCATCTGAGCAAAGATTACCAACTTTGATGAATCAAAGTTCTATACCTTCTCCAGTTCTTATCTCTGAATACAATCCTACAAATACTGACTTATTTTTAAATACTCCAGTACCAAAAGGAATCACTTTAGAATGTGATGTGAAAATTATAAAAGGATGGTTTGGTCTCCACACATTATATAATTTCTATCATTCCAAGACAAAACAACTCCTACTATAAGTGAGAAAATAATAATGTCCAGGGAGTCACAAGTTTTAGTTGAGTAAATCAGAAACTGAGCTCGATCTTGTAGGAACTTTAGAGTAATTTTTAATATTAAAATTTAGGTCTAATTTTATTGGTACAGAATTCATTTTATACTCTAAAGGGCTTTCACACAAGAATACAAATGATTTATAGACTTTAAGATAAGAATTAGCATTCATCCAATATGAATATCAAATCTTAAAAACTAGAAGTAATCTACTTTATCTATTTAAGGAAATCTCTTTAAAGTATTCATTCCTTCTTTAATAGAAGGTCAACCTTACAGAGTTGTTCCTCAAGATGAGAATACAGGATTAAAAATAAAAAGGAGATTTAAAAATAAAAGAAATGATGAATATTTTGAATTTCAAACTTAAGAACCTGTTTGGAGTTCAAAACTTTAATCATTTATACTACCATTTAACTCTAGAGTAAATAGTGCATCTATTCATAATTTTTTGCTTAATTAATTGAAGGAGGATGACAGATTAAGCAAAGATATCGCAATATAGTTTGGAAAGTGTGATAACAAATTATTAAACATTGATATCGCTTATCCTTTCACTCCTTTATAAGCATTCTCAATTATTATTAGCTAATTGGATAATAAATTATTAGTCTGAACTCCTATAATCAATGTTTATTTATATTAATAATAAAATATTATGATACTTTGAATTAGATAATTGATCCATTTTTTTATTATATATTGTACCTAATATCATTGATCGAAATGATTTATAAATATATATTTAATATTAGAGCAAATTTAGATTCAGATTTAATTACATATTCATCATAAATGGAAAATAAATACAAAAAGTAAGTAATTCATTCATTTTCGGATCAAAACAAAAAGAAGGGTGGCAAAAAGAATGATTAATATTGTTTTGGATAACTAAAGTAAATTAACTAGTTTATATTAAGGATTAGGTGAAGTACAAGAAAAATGAAAATTTAGGTTAATTAAATCAAAATTTGAATTGTACAAAATAAATAGGAAATATTTCACTCAAAACATATTTTGGTAATCCAGAATTGAAATATTTTGTATTCAATTCGATTTTTAGGATCAACTAATAGCAGCAGGTATTAGAATTTTTATATTCAGGTTGCTCCGATGGGACAGTGAAATTATTTAATATAACCACAAGTGAAGTTTGTTTCTAAATTTTTTAGGGAAATTAACGTTTAATTTATAAGGATTATCAGAAGGATCAACCTCAACAACTAGTATTAGATGGAGGAAAGATTGGGCAAATAAAGTTAAAGTGTCGTTATAAATGTGAATTCTGATGGATCAATAATGTTTTGGCATGCTTAGAAAGGAAAATAATTGCATAGACTAGTATAAAAGAATAATTCAATATTATGTATGGATTTAAGATTAGATGGCGAAGTATTTGCTACTTCTGGTAAAGATTGTAAAGTAATTTTATCTAAAATTTATTTAGATCCGAATTTATGAAGGGGAAAAAAGGAATTAATTCATACATTTGCTTCAGCCGATTAGTAAAAAGTATCCATTATACTTAGTAATTAAATTGGTCATTTGAACCAAGTGTTTGCTTTGAAGTTTTTAGAGGAATTTCCAACTATTCTTCTTTCTTGTGGTTGGGATGGTAATCTCGTGATTTGGGATCTTAGGGACAAAAGAATTGTTGGATCTATATAAGGTCCACATGTATCGGGAGATAGCATAGATTTTAGGTACAAGTCAATATGGCTCTTACAGAACAAATAATTAATTACAACTCTGGGATTTTGGTAAAAGATCATTAATAACAAATATCAAATGGGATAATGCAGATTCTGAAAACTCTTACACATACTCTTGTTAATTTAGTAAGATAAACGGAGATACCATATTGGCAGGTAGTTGTGGGAGGCAAGAAGTAAAGTTGTTTGACTTAAATGATAATTATGAAGTTTGAGGATGGATTCGAGAGTAATAAGAAGGTATATATTAATCAATTGTTATAGGGATATATTGTGTTGATTATGGAAACAAATCAAACAAATTTGCATTTGGAGGTGGCGAAGGAGTAGTCAAATTTGTTAATTGAATACATATAAATGAGTAAAATTAATATTATTTTTGATATTAAATATCTAAGTTATGGACCCGTAAAACCTAATAGATAATTTAAATGAAGTGCTTCTAGGAGATTATTTCACCTACATTGATACTTTGGGCAAGGGAAGCTTTGGTATTGTCGTTGCAGCCTATAGTTCATCATTGGATAAAGTAGTAGCCATTAAAGTATACCCTAAATTAATATAGATAACCTAATACTTTGAACAAGAAAATGAGTCATCCTTACTACAAGAGTGCCCTCATCCAAATATAGTTAAATTATATAAAGTAGACTATCCATATATTATTAAAGGTCTTGATTGCACATAATCGAGTCTATTTAATCATGGAAAAATTGGTAGGAACTACATTAGATGTATTAATGAAAAGTTAAGTTCTTCCAGAAACCTTAACAAGAAACATTATGTTGTAAATCTTGAATGCACTTGTATTTCTCCACAGGAAAGGAATCATCCATAGAGATCTTAAGCCAGGTTGATAATAACCTCTAATTTAGAAAACATATTCATATGTGATAACAATTATGTAAAATTAATCGATCTTGGATTGGGTTACTAGATGTTGTCAAGAGGGTTTATCGGTTAATAGGTTGGTACTCCTTATTACATTGCTCCAGAAATCATTAATTAGTAAGAATAGTCTTAAGTATTAATTTGAACCTAAAATAGTTAGTCGATATCTTTTCTTTGGGAATTATATTCCATCAAATGATCAACAATTGTCAACATCCACTATGGCAGTAAGGATACACCAAGAAAGACTATTATAAGGTCATTTCATCAGAGTTCCTAATTTAATACCCTCCTCAAATGTCTAAGTAAGAGATCATATAATATATTTAGGATGGCTAAAGATTTTGTGGAAAACACCGTAACATTCCAATCAATCAATAGGATGACAGCTTAACAATGTCTAGAACATCCTTGGGTCTTAGGGGAATAAATAAAGTCTCACCCAATTACTAATAGAGAAATTAAATTAAGATATTAATTTACTAAAAATTTCAATATAGTAAATTAAAAAATAGTAATTTAGATTGTTAAAGCTTTATGGATTCTTAAAATTTTTAAAGAGTAATGTTCTGAAGAAATCTTCTATATGAAAACTCAAGCATCAGATGAAATTAATGAGGTTGAAGATGAATTACAAGATCCATTATCAAGTAGAGTTCAAACTGAAAAGTTAATTACAACCGGGAATGGCAGACAATATCGTCTGCATCGTAATACTACAAAGGTTGAAAGGAAACCTTCAATTAAGTTAATCAAAACTTCATCCCATTAAGATTTAACATAACTAAAATATAAATTTTAAACTTCTAAAAAGTCATTTAGTATATATTCAAAATATAAGTTAGATAATGGACACCTTAAGCATAGATTGAGTGATAATTTAGTAATCCTAAAGACAAATAGTTCACAGAAAATTTCATCCCCAAATATATTGCCTATGATATCTCCTAGTAAACATAAAACGTCAAGTTTTAATTTCAGGTGATAATGATTTTAATAAAATTTATATTTAATTAATATACATTTCTTAATGGCAAATAATTTCAAAATTCCAGGTATGCTCTTGGGAAATGACAGAAACCAGTATAATAAGTACACCAAATATATTATTGACACTGATGCCGGAGGGGATGATGCTCATGCTATTATGATGGCATCCTACATTCTTAAACATATAAGAAAGGATGCTGAATTATTGGGGATAACTTGTGTGTCTGGGAATGCTAGTTTATACAACGTAATTAAAAATGTACACATAACATCCCGATATTGTCACTTTGATTAAGTTCCAGCAATTTACAAAGGATGCGAGTTTGATAGTATGAGAACATTTCACAGGGACTTCTTTTTTAAAGAGGATGGATTTGGGGGAGTACAAAAATAGTATCTAAAAGAACTGAATGTTGATGAAAATCAATAATTGTAAGAAAATAAACATGCTGTTGATTTTATCAAAGAAAGTATTGAAAAATATTAAGAATAATTATGTATCATATGTATAGGTCCTTTGACAAACATATATCTAACATTACTTTAACATCCTTAAATAGTGAATTAATTAGGTTGTTTATTTTGTATGTGTGGGACATATATGGGAGTTGGAAATTAATAGAATGGAATAGCTGAATTTAATATTGCTACTGATGTTTTAGCAACAAAAATTGTTTTGTAAGCTGATTTTAAGAATAAAATAATATTACCTTTTGATACTGTATTATCTTATTCTTTGGATAAAGATGTGGGAAGTAAAATATTTAATGTACAACACAATAAAATAGCTAAATTGGTTCATGATATCTATGAAAACGTATTATTTGAAACTTGTTATTATTTATGTGACGGTATCTATTATTTATTCATTATAGAATTGGCAATAGTTATGGCTATGATGCCAGAAACTATAACTCAAACATTGATAAGAGGAATTCATATAGTTGAGGATGGGTTTGCTAGAGGAGGAATGATAGTGGATTGGATAAAAAAAATGAAAAAGGAGGACATATCTGAAGTCTCAATTGTTACTTAATTCAATTGGGATCAAATGATTGAATTGGCTTTAAAAACTAATCAAGAATGAATAATATTTTCATTTAATAGAATGAATGCAATCAATATCATAATTTCTCATTTAGAAACATAAGGATCTTCAGGAAGGTATCATATCCAGTATTGATACTATCTGCCAATGCATGGTCAGCATTCGGATACACATAGGTTTAAATTTCTGTGCCAACTTCTAATGCCTGTGCTCTCATCGCTAACGATTATTGATAAGGACATCTTCTATCTTTGGAGCCAATTAATAATAATGAAGGAACTCTCAGCGGTTATAACATTGGTGATCTTTCAATCAAGGTTTTATAATCTTCAACACTAAGATTCCAAGTGTGCTTTCTATTTAATGCGCAAGATGAACCCCACTCTGGAATATCTGTAATATTAATCATAAATGGTAAATTCACAACAGGATTTAAAATCACAGCAGCATTAAATTTATCATAATGCTTCGATCCCATTAAAGCACTTAAATAACCACCATAAGATCCTCCCATTATAAACGTTTTGCTCGTCTTATATTTCTTTTAAACTTAATCAATCATGTCCAATATTTCTTGTACATCTTATACTCCAATCTTACCACTCAAAGCTTCAATGAAATTCTACCCATAACTACATGATCCACTAAAATTGGGAGCTAATAAAATAAACCCTTATTATAACAACATATGTCTTAGTTATGTGTATTAACTTTACATTGTTCCGTGTGGTCCGCCATGTGCTAAAACTATTAATGGCCTTTCTTTAAAGTATTTTGGTAATCCAAATTTCTCATCTTCTTCTTATAAGTACCAAACAAACCCTTCTGCCTCTCCACTATCGACAAACTCTTCAATAAAATTATTTGATATCTTCAAATTAAAATGTTCTAAATTTCGTATATACCTTCTCTATTTATCCATGACATTAATAATAGCAGTTAAAATTGGCGATTGATTAACGTTTTCGTCAGTATAATATAAGATATCATTAACTTAGTCATAATTAATAATTTCGCAATTATGTGTTGCTTCCTATTCTACTGAATGACTTAAAAGTTCTATTTATTTTGTATTAATATCAATACAAAATATCTTTTATTATCCCAAGACGATTGAAGAATACACAAAATGAGTTGAATCCTTATTCCAAAAGTTTAAAGATAAATCATCATAAAAACCACAAATTCCTCCAATAATTGTATCTCTATTAACTTTATTCTCCCTCACTTTTCTTAAGTCATTTTCCTTCTATATTCCAATTAATTCTTCTACGAACTTATTTTCCAAATTTATCATATTCAAACTCAAATAACATAGATGTTAGTGTTTGTAATCTGACCCTAAATATAATAACTTTTTGAAATCAGGACTTATAAGTGGTTTCACAGAAATTTCATGTTTTGATAATAGTTGTAATTATTATTCCTCTAAATTCTCTCCTTTATCAGGTAATTCTATTAATTTTGGCTTCTCAATAAGGTATATCCCACTCTCTCTGTTAAAACAATGAACTATTCCATATTTGAATTCTTTATGAATTTAATAGCCACCTAAAATTATTTCATCATTCTCTGTAAATTATGGAAAAGTTAAAAATAAATTGCTTGGAGTTTAGACTTTAAACAGTTTTTGCTATTCAATATCTAACATAAATAAAAAGAATATCTCAACATTATCCATTCTTTCACCCCAACTTTATTCATATTTCCTGTAGTTCCATGCTTGCTATATTTCCTCGTCTTTTTCTACCTAAAAGAAAGTCTTGGTCTCTTTACTCTTGCCTTTTGCTAAATACAAAACTTTATTGTTTTATTTATTCCATTTAAATGGCTCTCCGACCATTTCATTATTTAATATCTCCTCATGAAATTTTTAAGTGTTTATGCTGAACAATAGTTTGCCTTATTAATGTATTTCAATAACCTATCTTGGCTTCTCAGATTCATCAGAGATTTGCTATTATTTTATAAATCTCTCCCTATCATTGCTATAAGATGTAAAGAGATTTTGTTAAACAACGCTACCTCTTTAAAGTAAATGAAACCCGTCTTCTTTTAATTAATACAAATTTTAGTAATCAAGAGAGGAGTTTTCTACAATATTTTTTTTTGATATTATCATTGACACTAAAAATTCATTATTTTGAATCTTAGCAACTGTATTTACTTTCTTTATCGTCTATAATTAGGATGCAATAATTTTTGTGATATCTATATATCCTTTTAATGAATTCATTTAATATTTTAATTTAGAGATTAATCTTTTACACATATAGAATTTCAAATTAGCAACTCAAACTATTCACAATAATTATAAAAACACATTTTTAAAGAAGAATTGATAATAATCTCAAATTGAGAAATATAAAATTGTAAATTTTAACTAACTCACATTTAACATAAATTTGTATACAATTGTTGGTAAAATTGATTTAATTTAAAGTTAGATAAAATTAAGTTTGAAATTTTTCAATCTTTTGATGATTTGATTACAAAAATAATTTCATGCAATTTTTAATGAAAATATCTAAATTATTTATACTTATAATTTATTTTAGAAATCCCAACTCTAATTTCCTTTTATATCTTTAAATATTTATCCTGAAAATGCTTCATTTACTTTATTGTAGACAAGATTTCACTAAAAATTATAAAAAAATATAGTTTTCTGTTTCAAATTATAACATTTAATTTATATAGAAAATATAACAGAATGGTTATTTCATAGGTTCTACAAATAAATAGATATCATTATTTTACCATAAACATAAACTAAATGAATTAAAAACAATAACAATTAGTTAGTTTAAAGATCG